GGCAAAGCAGTGACCTGGTATAATCTCTCTGTCAAGTCTAAAGGGAAGCATTGTTGAGATTTCAGGCACTAACCCGAAACTTTGGAACTCTCTTCCTCAATCCCTCCGCCTTGCGCCTTCCTTCCCCGGGTCCTCTCGCCTGCGAGGTGAGTGCTCTAACCCTACAGGACTCCACATTAAAGGCTAAAAGGGCAACAGCATGCAAACGAGTAATACGTGGAGGAACTAGATACGCCAGGGAAAATTAAGGGATGAGAGGAGTGAGCTCCAGCAAAGGAGCTCAGTTACCTCCTCCTGTGCTAAAATTTCTATGATTAATTATAGGCGGTTTGGTCAATCAAGAGCAGTGCTCTGGAGAATTGCCATCGGACCTGGCTCGGGTATTGGAACACTGAGTCCACCACAGAAAATAGATTCAGTTGCACTCTCTCTTTATCAGGCATGTCTCCACGGAGCCAAAGAGACCTCACATACCTTTGCTCCAAGGGTATTGTCAAATGATGGACAACTTGATATCTAGAGTTGAATAATCTTGGGAACAAGCCATAATTCTGTCAATGTTCCTAACTGGTATGTTTATGTGTACAATCAGTAGGATTGTATCCAATGAGCCAGTGAATGATCGACCTAAACAATATATTTACAATATATTCTGTGAAGAGCTTTAAAACATCTCAACGACGTGATAGGCGCTATATCAAATTGCAATGATTATTATTATTAATATAAACGACACGCTGAGGTTTAACTACAGTGAAGAGCAATTCTCATGGACACGCTGCTGTCTGGCTGTTCAATTAACCTCAAGAGTCTCTTCTTAAGAGAAGATGGCTGTGTAGATGGCTGTTCAGGTGTAGGATTGAGGAGTTGTGCAGAAAGTAAATAGACGTGTGAGTGAGTACCTCAGTGGAGGAGGTGTATATTGTCGACAAACAACATTCCCTTTTCTGGATCTCGGAGATTCATTTAAAATAGATTAAAAATAATACATTTCCTGTTTGCCCTTCTCCGGGAGTATTTTTAAAGCTTGATGCATTGATAAAATTCCTCAGATCAACAGTTATGGAGAGAGGAGTGTGACCCTGTGTGCCACTTCAGCCTGTTTGTCTGTTTCTCGGACTGCTTGGAATTGATCAAACCAGTTGAGTGTTCTATTCACCTGTCTGTCATTTCAACTTGCGGCGAGCTGATCCAGATCCAGAAAGCAAGTTCCTTAATAATAATAATCCTTGCATTTGATATAGCGCTTTTAACGTTGGGAGGACGTCCCAAAGCGCTTCACAGAACACACTGTAAAGTGAATTGACTGTATATTTGTGGGTGAACGCGGCAGCCAATTGCGCACAGCAATGTCCCACAAACAGTCATATGGATTGAAAATGACCAATTTATTATTGTTTTTGGTTTTGGAGGGATTATTATTAGGGCTCTGTGTGGAGTAAGGAAACTTGCCCAAGGTTTCGCCCTCTGCCTGGAATTGAACTCAGGTCTCTCACTTGCAAAGCGAGTGCTCTAACCACTGAGCCACAGAACTCCTTGACATCTGACTGATGGTGGGTGAAAGAGTTCTATCTTATCTTTTAATTTTTTTTTGTACATTTAACCCGTTTGCTACTGTTACATTTTACATTTTACTGTTACAACTAGTTCTATGCTGACTTAATTACACGAGGAAATCCCTTCTGGATGATGCTGTTTTATGTGGATGTTGAGTGAGGGTCAGATTCAGGTTTGATGTGCTCTCCTGTCAAATGGGCTGCGACCACCCACTGTTGAATCTCACACATGAATAATAATATATAATAATAAAAATGAAATACGTAACAATAAACGACACATGGATGGAAGACTGGATGTTGACAAGTACCCATGAAACAGTACCCCATGTAAAAAGAAAAATGAGTCAAAATGTCTTCAGTTGTTTCGTTTTATTCATCCAATAAGTAACACTGGGAAGTTTCATACCTCTGATCCATTCATTTCCTTATTTATTCTTTATTCACTCAATCCATGACTGTTTGCGGGACACTGCTGTGCACAATTGGCTGCCACGTTTCATCCACAAAATATCCAACCAATTCACTTTACAGTGTATTCTGTGAAGCGCTTTGAGACGTCTGCAAGACCTGATAAGGCGCAATATCAAATGCTAGGATTATTATAGTATTATTATTATTATTATTTGTATTCAAGTCAAGTTATATCTAGCCTTCATTCTGTATGAAGGTTTACAAAACAAAGTGCAATTAACTTGTGGCTTGGTGAAATGAAGGAACTTGCTTTTCATGCTGCCAGATCTGTGCAGTTGTGGACTGGCTGCTTTCTGAGAAATTGAGAAATTTCCTGAGTGGCCCCATGTTTGGCTCCCGAGCACCCCTGTAATCAGTGCCCCCAGGCAACAGCGCATCCTTCCCCCCTCCCGCCATTTTGCATCACAATCCTGAGCCCTTTTGGAGAGCCAGACCACCACTGTTCACAAGTACTGTACTGTCAAGTGTAGTGAGTGTGTTTCTTGGTAAACAGAGCAGGCATTTTCACCAGCTGGGTCCTCTCAACTATAATGTGAAGTCTAATTCGTGTGGGGGATTGTTGGAAACTTCCCTTCTCTTTTTGAATTATGTCATGGGATCTTTAATGTCCGCCTCGACACGGAGAAACTAAGGGATGAAGTTCCCTTGCCAACAGTGTGTGTGATTTCAATGAGATTTTCCCATGATCAGCATACACTCCACGTTTGGTAAATTACATAAAGATGCATGTTCGTTCCACGAGTGTTTCTTTTAGTGTCCTTCACCTTCTAACCTCACCATTTTGTTTGTCCTAGGGTTAAATGTTAATTGAGCACAGACTTCTTTTTTGGTCAGCTGGGTATCTGACACATTCGGAAACCCATCACCAAGAGTACCCAAACCAACCACTACATGCATCCCATGTAGTGGTTGGTTTCCATGCATCCCACTACACATAGACATTCCAGAGATACATCGCTGGAATGGAATGCACACTCTCTCCTTGGAGGACACATGCTGCTTACCTAATTCCAGAAAGTATTAAGCGCAGGTTGGCGAGAGCCAAGGCTTGGAGACTGCAGAACATGTGTTGGGGTTATGCTGGAGTCTGACCAGCTAAAACTGCATAGCTTACCATTGATATTACTGTCCAGCGAACTTTCCCGCTGCTTGTTCAGCTACAACCACCTACTCGTTAGGGCTTTGGCTTGCAGAGTTAACAGGAGCTAAGTGGGATAGCAGGAGAATAGTACAACTTTGAAGGGGAATGGGGATAATGCAGTGGGATTGAATGAATGCTTTGCTTTGTGCAGACTCCTTCTGCACAGTAAATTTCTATGATTCCATGAATCTCCTGGCTTTGCATAGATTCACCCTGGAGAAAGTGCCATGTTGTACAGTCAGTCCTGCCTATTTAGACATGGCACCTTTATTCCTCATTTAAAATGATATTGTAATGTGTCCTAGAGTAGAAATTCTTGTAGGACAATGTTTTCCTCACCTAAACTCATATTTTATTTACCCCCAAATCACTGAACTGTGTGTTAAGGCACCTCTCACTGTCTTCACATGCTGCTGCTCACATTAGACTTAGCTTGGCACCAAATAGGACAGAGTTTCATAGGACTCCCCTAACCCGATCTATTCACTCCCTCACCACACAGAATGCCAGGATTGCACCACGGTGTAAGGGATGCTTCTCTGACCACTGGTTGGAGCTGTTGAGATTACCTTTCAAAATGGGGCAAGATGCCTCTTGAGGCTTAAGGGGTGGTTGAGTAGCACTTCTGTGCCAACAAAGGGTATCTGATTTGGGTTTTGGTTCACGGAGCACCCACTCCACACAAACCTTGGATATAATAATATTAATTATAATCCTTGCATTTGGTGTAATGTCTTTCCAGTCAGGAGGATGTCCCAATCTTTCACTGTGAAGTGTAGCGACTGTGTGTTTTGTGGATGAATGCAGCAGCCAATTTGTGCACAGCAGAGTCCCACAAACAGCCGTGGACTTGGTGACCAATTTTATTTGGAGTTTTGTTGGCCGTGACACTGGGGAAAGCTCCCTTCACTTTTCATATAGTGCCATAGGATCTTTACAGGTAGGCAGGGCCTCAGTTTAACGTCTCATCTGAAGGACACATCCCCAAGCAGACGCCCCCAGCACTGCACTGGAGTGTTAGCTTATGCTATTTGAGTCTCAACTCCCAATGTGCGACTTGTCTCCACCATCTTCTGACTCAGAAGTGTGATTGCTACAAGCTGAGCCAGACTGGCACAGGCCAACCTACTGGCTGTTTGGCTTCCTTAAGATGTGATCCAAGCCCACTACAAAACAAATGGGTTATCATACAGAGAAAACTTATAGACTCAGCACTATTAAACACTTTCTTTGTTGAGTTGTCATTTTAATACGAGTGAGAGGTGTGAACAGAGCCTTTTACAATTGAAAATTCAAAAATGTAGAGTTGTTCTTCAGCATCTAGATTGGTCAGTCTTAACTATAATAGTTTAAAACAAATCTGGATGTCTTGCATCAACCTCGGAATGGAAACACTTAAAGAGAAAGGCAAATTACACTCTCTCAAAGGCATGATACCCATTGAAAAACTGGCTCCATTTACATGAGATGGATAATGTTATTCGGCTCATCAGTTTGATTCAGTCTGACTCCTGAAATAGGAAATAATTATTCTGTAGGGTACATTTACATCTAGGCATTGGTTAGTTTCTTTAGCAAATAGTTTTGCTGGCATTACTCAACTAAAACCTGAAATCGTGACTAATTCTGGAATTTCCTGCCATCTGGTCAAGAAGCCAGAAAAATCAAATCATTAATGATAGCTACAAACAGAACCTGACCACTATTCTCTTCCTTTCCAGGGGACAACTCGAGCTTGGACACAGTTCTGTAGGCACTGTTAGCTTTCTCGTTCGTCACTTAGGTGGCTCATGTGCGAGCCTGTGGTTAGTGGGTGTTCCGACTATTTATTTACAGTCAAAGTTGCTGCGCCTCATTCATTCTCACACCAAATCCATAGTTTGTGCATTTCCTAGCAGATTTCACCCTCCCCAGCGAGATAGAGTGGGGATCCAGTAAGTGATAAAATCCCATTCTCAATGTGACAGATATAATTAAATCTGGGACCTTCCTGGTCTTAGCACACCGAGCCGTATATTTGCTCACTGAGCTTTTGGTTAAGCTTACAATTGGTTTCTGTGACTTGTATAAACAAGCACAAACAGATTTTTATTAGGTAAGGCTGTGAGGGGATATGGGGCAATTGGAATTGAGGTTTTATGATCTGATAGAATGGCACAACAGGCTCAAGGGGCTGAATGGCCTATTCCTATGACCTTAGTGCTTAGTGCTGCAATGTGCATTCCCTTTTCCCACTAGGTCATTGGGGCAGTTATTGTAACCCTTTTTTTTTGTAAAATGTTTAATGTTGTAAATGCTGTAATTTAAAAACGGACACAAGTATTTGACCCAGAGCAATTTGTAAAAGTAGACAATAGTTTATTCCCCCAGTGCAGCCTTTTTTTTCTGCAGGACTTTCATGAGATCTGACATTATATCTGGCTGGCCTATGGGCCCGCCTCTGGGAGGCAGGGCAGATTTATTCTCAATCCTTTTCGGAATGGCTGGTTTACTCAGACCTGTGTTGGGCTGTTTGGAGAGAGACGGGTTGGAGGAAGGCGGAGGAGGAGGTGGAGGTGGGGGAGGAATGGACGCTGCGGCAGAACTGCTATTAAAGCAAGGGGGAGGGGGTGGCAAAAAATCAGGAGGCGGCTCCACAAAGGACAAGCGTTTCGGGGGAATTGGGGGTATTTTCTTGCCCGGATCCTTTGGTTTGGTTGAGGTAGGAGCCAACAGCATACATGGAACCGGCCTAGTCGGTGAGCATGGAGGGTTGTACTCTCTGGAGGTTGGCGCTGACACAGGAGGAAGTTCAAACGATGGAGGGGGAGGTGGCAGGTCCCCTTCTCTGAATTCCAAGGTTTCTTCATACTCAAGTGGAGGAGGAGGAGGTGGTGGGAGAACTGGCTCATCATCATCATATGTCTTCTTTCCCTTTGAATCAAACACAAATTGTAACATTGTCAGGCTTCGATACACAGATTTAGCCGAGCAGCGAAGACCGAAACATGTTAATTTTCCAGTCACCGGCAACGTTTTTCCTGGCCCACTCAACCAGATGTCTCAACTTCCTGCAATTCCCTGCCTTGACATCCTGCAGCTTGTTAAGTCGTTGCTGTCAGTGACACAGATGTTTGCGACTTGCAGAGGATACCGGCTCTTTTGATGGTATTTTAAATAGGCATTTAAAGGGCATCTTCTACAGCATGTTAGAACATGGACTGAATTTCGTGCCCGCCCTCCTCACCCTGCTTGCTCAGTTTTTGTGCCAAAGGCCAGGGCAAGCTCTAAGGGTGGCCTGGGAGGTAGCAGCTTACTCCGCACCCTCATTCGTGTTTTAGGGATGAACCAGGCGGAGCAGAAAATTCTGGGTTGGGGGGGGGAGGAGGGGAAACAAGAGGGCAAAAGAGCAACATAGTCTGGACATCGGCCCACACTACAAACAGAACTTTGCCCCTGGTACAAATTCCACTTACACATAATGTAATTTTAGCCCTCGAGCTGCTGCTCAACATCGAAACATAAAAATCGACAGTGCAAAAGGAGGTAATTCGGCCCATCAAATCCGCACTGGTTCATAGAATAAGGAGATGAAATCAGTCCCACCGCCCCGCCTGATCCCCAGACTCTTTCAAACCCCTCTCCTTCATATGCCTGGCAGCTTCCCTCTTGAAAGCAATCTTGTTTTGCTCAGCCGGGTGTCTTGACACGTGCGGAAACTCATCACCATGCTTAAAAGTATCCAAACCAAACTGAGAATTCCATGCATCCCACCTACACGTGGAAATCCCAGAGATAGATTACTGGAATGGAATGTGCACTCTCTCCCCAAAGGGTTGCAATCCTGCTTCGCCCAATTCTATGATTTTGTAAGAGGAGCAGCTAGAAACACAGCCTAATGAATTAAGCAAATGCTGCTTTTGTGTCAGTTGCAAGATGACAGTAGCTACAGCACAATCCTTCTAGAGTCCTTTAAACGGGAATCATCACCTCAGTAGGGAGCTTTCAGGATCGGCAGAACCATCACACTCCCGGCCTCATTAGCGGCCCCGAAGGCACTTCATGTGACTGAGTGACTGCTGGGAGGGCAGAGTATTGCTAAACTTAGATTTATTTCAAATTCAGTGCACGGCTCAGCAACCAGCACTCCCACACCGTGCTGCATAATTTGAGTGCTGCACTGTTTCTGAAAATGATCCCCTATCCATAATGATGGCAATTATTTTTAAAAAAATCCCCAATTCCAAAAGTAGTGAGAACAAACTTACTTACACTCGCATATAAGGAGAACCTATGTTTTTGTTGTTTTGCCCACAAAATACACAGTTAATTCACTTTACAGTATATTCTGTGAAGCGCTTTCAGATGTTTTAATAATAATAATCCTTGCATTTGATATAAAATCCTTATCACATCTTCGAGATGTCTCAATAGATGTCTCTATTTTGTGGGCGAAACACGGCAGCCAATTGCGCACAGCGGTGCCCCACAAACAGTTGTGGATTGAAGTGGCTAATTCATTATTAGTATTTTTTTGAAGGAATTATTACCCCCAGTAAAGCGATATGCCAATTGACTACTTACTACTAGGTAAACAGAGGCATGTGGAGTAAGGAAACTTGTCCAACATTTTGCCCTGCCAGGAATCAAACCCAGGTTTCTCACTTGCGAGGCAAGTGCTCTAACCACTGAGCTACATGTATAACATAACAAGTCTATATCCACATGTCCCATAAGCTCCATATGAGGAGTCCTGTAGCTCAGTGGTTAGAGCACTCGCCTTGCAAGCGAGACACCTGGGTTCAATTCCAGACAGGGCGAAACCTTGGGCACGTTTCCTTACTCCACACACCTAATAATAATCCCTCCAAAACAAAGCAATAATAAATTGTTCATTTTCAATCCACGACTGTTTGTGGGACACTGCTGTGCGCAATTGGCTGCCGCGTTTCGCCCATAAATATACGGTCAATTCACTTTACAGTCTATTTTGTGAAGCGCTTTGAGATGTCGAGAAGACGTGAAAAGCGCTATGTCAAAGGATTATTATTATTATTATTATCAAATGCAAGGATAATCATCATTATTATGTTGATTAGAGATTTCGGTTCAGGATTACAGTACATCTGGTTAATGAGCATTCACTAGTATCTTCTTATAGGGACTGGCAGCTTCCTAAGTTTCTAACTAAGTGATTTAATTGCTCATTACATTTATTGGCCAGTCCTGAAGTTGGCTGCTCCCTCTATTATTATTATTATGATTATTAGGAGCCGCACAGCAGGCTGCTTCACGTCCAGCGGTCGGGCCTTTAGACTCTCCGCCCTCACCCTTTGGGACTCCATCCCATATTCCCTTTACCTCGCTCCCTCTCTCGCCTCCTTCAAGGCACGTCTCAAGATTCTCCTCTTCGACTGTGCCTTTGACTACCCTCGTACACTCCCTGCCCTCCACCCTCCCTTATCTCAACCACCCCAGCTTGGGTCCAAATCCCTGACTGTCCAGGCCTTGGAATATCCTCCCGACGTCAAAGGCGCTATAGAAATGTAATTTTGTGTTGTATTGTCCCTGGATGTATTTGGCTTTAATCGAAAACTTTACAGCTCAGGATTAAAAAAATGAATGCAAAGAAATTCAATCATAAAACGTGACTGAACAAGAGAGGTGCTGAAAAGAGGGACCCAGAGCAAAATCTAATAAATAAAGGCACTAAAGACACCTTAAAAACATTTATGTTATTTGTTAGTATATAATATATAAGTATTATGGAAATAATCAGCATCATGCATGGGGCATCAACTGCTACAGTAATTTCAGTATCACTGAATAACTTCCCTCCCTGTGTTTAGTGCAGATTGGAGCCTTTTTATGATTCACATGAAAATTAATAATTAAAAACAATTAAACTCAACAGCTATTGTGAATGGTTAGTCTCCTAGAAACCCAGCTCCAACAGGGGACATGTTTACCTGTGTGATTTCTGTCCCCAATCACCCCTCTTGAAATATCCAGTGAGTTTGCAACAATAATATTTTGCACTTGTTATGAAGTGCCGTTCACATTGGCTGAAGGTCGCAAAGTGGCTTCACAAAGACAATAGAGGCCACTGAGCAGGAAGGAAACAAGGAAAACATGTAAAGGTGTTAACGAAAGGTGTGAAAATTGCTTTGTTCTTGAAAGATTTTTTGTGAGTAATGGGAATTTTTGGCAAACCTGGATCAGGGTGTTAATATTAAATATTGCAGGTCGTACGTAGAAAATGTACAGAAATCAGAAACGGAACTGAGCACAGCACATGCATGCTGCTAATGAAGTGACTGTGTAAGATTACATTGCAACTTCCTCTTGTTCCTGCAACATAACAACTTACTGCAGCTCCATCAGTCACTCAAGAGTGAAGCGCACTATTGTTCAGTATTATTCAGACTGACACATTATAATGGAGGCTCATTTTCATCAGGTTAGCAGAGAGCAGAACGTTTCAATATCTCAAGATGGTTCGAAAAGTTTTTTGGATTAAGAGCCAAGCAATGTCACGCAAAATCTGTCCCACTGAATATTGGGCTTGTTCCATTTTCTGTTTAATTATGTTCTAAAGTTTTGACATAAGAAGATAAGAATTTGCTAGATGCAAGCAGACCAGGTCCATCCAGTTTGCCTCCCACCATCCTGAGAGTCGAATGCGTATGTCATGTCCGGAACTATATACTTTATAAACTTTAGGAACCATATGATCGGAAGACATCTCTCAAATTCATTGTTCTTTTAAGTTGCTTACCTCCGTGCGTTTCCAGGTATCAGGGATCACGGAGCTGACCTGGTTCACCATTTGCTTGGCTTGTCCATTTGGCTGAGGAGAAGCTGCATGATAATAGGGAAAATATGTTCAATAGGGATTGATGGAGTGATAGACATTATCCTTTAGTTGCGTAAAGATATTTTCATCGCATCTTAAAACTGCATGTAAAACTGAATGTAATGATAATCCTTGAATTTGATATAGCAGCTTATCACGTTGTCAAATCACTTCATAGGTTTTTACTGTAAAGTGTAGTAATTATTTTTTTGGTAGGCAAATGTGCCAGCTGATTTGGGCACACAGTGTCCCATGCAGTGAATGGCCAACTATATCTGTGGATGGTTGGTCAGGACATTGAGAGAAATTCCCTTCTCTTTTCGAATGGTGTCGTAGGATGCTTAATGCCGACCCGAACAAGCATTCGGGAGCTCGGTTTAGTATCTCATTCACAGGAAGGCAGCTCTGCCAATGCAGGACAACCCAGGATTGTTAAGTGTAAAAATCTAAACGAAGAGCTCAAAGTCCCGATGTGGGGCTTGAACGCATAGTTGGCTCAGTATTCATTATTAATTAATTAATTAATTAATTTATTAATTATTCAGTTAATTGAGAGTGCCACTAACTGAGCCTGAGCGAAATGTAATTCAGACCAACAACGTTACATTACAGAGAGTTCAAAGTTACAGTATGCGACGTTTTAACGCTACACATCGCAATTAACATCTGCATTGAAAAAAAGGCAACCTATGATACTCAACACATCGACTGATGCCCAGATGTGCTGGAGACAAACATCTGATATCATGGACATTATTCCGAATGGTTATGCTGAGAAACCAGCTACACTGGTTGTTAAATTGGAGGCTACCAACAACTTTGATTTTTTTTGTCAACTGAAGTTAGTGTTCTTCTAACTGGCCGACAACGCAACAGTTTAGGAGTTCGATATGGCTGACATATGAGGGTGCAATCAATGTGAAGAGTTTCAGGAGGGGACTGCCACCAGCACACCCACAGACCAGTTGATAATTAACACGTTGACTGGTTCCTTTGTTTAAAAAAAACAGAATGTTAATTAACACATCACACTCTCATTCAGTGGGCTGGATATTAGACCACTCTGGGCGAGGTTACTATCCCAAAGTCCTGCACTGTTGGAGGTGCTGTCCCTCAGGTGAGATGTTAAACTGCCCGTTCAGGTGGATGTTAAAGAATTGCCTACAAAACGCACAATCCATATTTCACGGCAAATCCCATGAATGGCTCTGAGATGCTCTCCTGACGTTGAGGGCGCTATATTAAATGTAATGGTTATTATTATTAAAAGCAACTGTGAGAACCAATACAGCATGAACTAAATCACAACGAACACATTGAGAACATAAGTTATCACTTCAGTGTGTCTTTTCTTTAGAATGAGTAATACTGGTGTCTAAATTGCATCAATTTGTAATGGGATTGCTTAAGGAGGTCTCCAAGTCCCAAATAATAGAAACAATTCACTGCAACCTGTGGGAACTCAGCTCCAACGCAATCTTTGCTAGAGTGGCGTTTCCACAGGTTGTTGTATTTCCAGTAGTTGGAAGGAGTCTTCACTTGCTACTTGGATTCCTTATTCATTAATGCCATTACAATTAACGTTCACATTTAAATCCCATTACGATTTAATTGGCAAAACTAAATCAATATTTAGCAATGTACATACCTGCTATGGTGCTTGCAGTATTGTTAGATTCGATGTTTGTAAGATTTATCCATTGAGATGCCAGACCAGCCTTTTGCAACGCTATTTTATGATTATTGTATAATGTCTTGCCATACTGAAAGCAGAAAAGAAGAGAACTCGTTATCCTCAGCAGGTAAGATACACCTTAAATTAAAAGAAGTTACTAGTCTAAATGAAAACTAGTTATGGTTAGTTTTTCATGGGAGTTCAGATCTCTGTCCCGATTCCCGCAGACAACCTTAACCATTTTGCCGACAAAAATATACAGTCAATTCACTTTACAGTATATTCTGTGAAGTGATTTGAGGCGTCTCAAAGACACGATCAGGCACTATATCAAATGCAAGGATTATTATTATTATTTTTATTATTATTATTGTAACATGCACAGCTTAATGAATCAATCCTACAATAATTTTACATTTATATAGTGGGTTTTACTCCTTTCAGGTCTTAGAGTGTTTCATGGAGTCTTGTATAAAGGAAACAACATACTTTTGGGGATATGTCCTTCAGACCAGATAACTAAAAAGTCAAATCTGAGTCAAGTTTTAGTGTACATTGCTCAGTATTATATCACACAACTCCTTCAATTCCTGCGCACAAACTGGAGAGGTAGAATGAGGGAGTTCCAGAGGTCAGGGGCATAGAATCTGAATGTTCAGGGACAGATGGTGGGGTGGGTCTGGTGGGGGATGTGGAGCAGGCGAGCGGAGGGAGCGGACAGGTTGATAAAGGCTTAGCAGGTCGCGGGGGTAAATTTTAGGGTCAATTGTTAAAATGTATTACCAACTGGTGGTGAATACCTCTGCCCCGTGTGAGGGGCATTATATAAATGCACTTTATTGCTGTTGTTGAATATGCCATTGGAAGGCGGTGGACAACGACCCTCTACAGATGCAACACACAAAGGAGGATGCCATCTTTTTCTACTGCTGGTTCTCATTTGTCAGATATTGATCACATATCTGATGAGGAAATGATAGGCTCAACCTCGGCTGTTGAGAACTGAGACGTCTGAAATTGCGTCTGGTTCCTGTAGTCTGAAGTAATGATTTTGCTGTAATCATGAACAGCAGGCACAGCACCAACCACTTGATCTGTCGTAATGAGCCTATTTACGGTTAACAGATTCAGTGTGTGTTTGCCATGATTTTAGCACGACAGATGCCTTTTGCGCGGTGACTTGTATTGGGTGGATCGTGGCAATCAAAAATTCGCAGCCTAACGCTTTTTCTTTGTTGCATTTTTCACCTTTTTTTTACGTGAATGTACAGTTTATGTTTTATATTCGTGAATAACAATATCAGCTTGGTTCTGTTGGTAGCATTCTCGCTTCCAAGTCAGAAGGTTGTGGGCTCCAAGGCCCCTGGTCAGGATTTTCAGCTCACAGTCTAGGTTGACACACGAATACAGTGCATACAGGGGGAAGCAGTGCACTTTCAGAGGTGCCGTCTTTTGGATGAGACATTAAACCAAGCTCCTGTCAGCCTGTTCATTAAAAATCCCATGATATAATAATAATAATCCTTCCATTTGATATAGTGCCTTATCACATCCTAGAGACATCTCAAAGCACTTCACGGAATATACTGTGGTGTGAATTATTCAGAAAGGAAGTTTTTCCTGCTGTTCTGACCAACAATTTCCCAGATTAAACTGGTCATTCACGTCACGACTGATTGTGGGACATTGCTGTGCACAAACTGACTGCCAGGTTCTCCTACAAATGCACAGTCACTACACTTTGCAATTAATCTTGTGAAGCAGTCGTCTCGAAGCGGTGATAAGGCACTGTATCAAATGCAAGGATTATTAGTAGCAGTTATAACAATAATACGCCTCATCACGTCTTCGAGACGACTCAAAGCGCTTCACAGAATATACTGTAATGTGAATTGACTGTGTGTTTTTGCAGGCGAAACGTAACAATATGTTAATCTATAGAAACCCCAAAAGGTTTTGTTAAAGGAACCAGATAAATTTCCTGACAAACTAAAAGATTCACAGTACTTACATTTAAAGATAAATATGGCCATATGGCCTATTGTGTTTGTGCTGGTTCTTTCTAGAGCAATCATTTCAGTCCCATTAACCTGCCTTTTCCTCATACCCCTGTAGTTTACTTGTTTTTAGGTACTTATTTAGTTCCCTTTTGAAAGCTAATATAGATTCTGCCTCAACTATCGCTCAATAGCTTTGAATTAAAAGTAAGGTTTGCGTATGAGAGAAAACAGCTATGTATTTTGAAAGATGAAAGTGTTTTTCTGCACTTGAAAAGTTACGATGCTGTCGCTACGACGACTTTTGGACCAGAGTTGGAGAGAGGTTTTGTCAGTTCTCAGTGTGACCTCTAGGTGGCGACTTAACACTATGAAGTTAATGAAGCAAAGTCTGTGGCATCTCCTGTATTACGATATAATAATAATAATAATCCTTACATTTGATGTAGCACCTTATCATGTGTTCTAGACATCTCAAAGCGTTTCCCACTATATACTGCAAAGTGAATTGACTGTATATTTTGTGGGCGAAACACGGCAGCCAATTGCGCACAGCAGTGTCCCACAAACAGTCGTGGATTGAGCGATCCATTTCTTTTCTTTTTTGAAGGGATCATTACCCCAGAAAAGCGATCCGCCAATCGACTAGCAACCAGGTTCCTACTTAATGCTCGGTAAACAGAAGCGCATGGAGTAAGGAAACTTGCCCAACGTTTTTGCCCTCTCCCGGGAAATCAAACCCAGATCTCTCGCTTGCGAGGCGAGTGCTCTAACCACTGGGCTACAGGACTCCATGATATAGCAACGCAGACAATATCTCCAGCGTGTTTGTTTGGTAGAGCACAAGAGCGGGGGCAAGACAGGAGAGGAAGATGGGGATGGAGGTAAGACTAAAGAAGAATCTGTAGCTTGGTTAGTTCCTCCCCGCTCCCCCCAGCCTGACATTGTGGTCTGCCATTGTCAAGCTCTCTGGGACGCTACCCTGGGTGAGGGGCGCTATACCAATGTAAGGTAGCGTTGGGGATCCTTCATTTCAGTTACACGTTGCAGCATGTTTCTGTTTTTCACTCACCTTAGCTATTCGTATCCCAGTTACCCACTGTTGTAGATTCCAGCGGTCATCACAGCACAGGTACTTGATATACTGTGACTCCTTCTGAATCTGGGGGTGCTGAACGAATGACAGTCATCATTAAATGGGTTCAGATTTCTAAAAGGCATTTTATTTTCACCACAACAACCTTGTGGAATCGATGAAAGATGTGTTGAACAATTTACTGTAGTTTGCTTAAGTTAACCGGATTTCTTTCTGAGAACATGAACGGCATGTAATGTTTAATTTCACCCTTTAACTCGGGTCCCCCAAACCTCGGCTCTACATCAACATTTGGAACAATCCCTACATTAGGAAAATGGCTTTAGATATTGGGTTAAAAATGATGGTAGTTTATTAATTCATCCCCTGTGTTAATTCCCTTATTTTCTTAACCCCTTTCCCTTATCCAGAGTTCAAAGCCATTGTTTGAAGTCACAAATATAATTTCAATCAGGAGGAACATCTCTCAGGATTGGAAGCCGGGAGCAGCTCTGAATCCCATCAAGAACACCAGTGTTACTTAAGTATTGGAAACACATTTAAGATGTTTCTTGTGATGTTTCTCTCAGCAAACGGCGTCTCCTCCAGCCCCCGCACCGTCTCGTGCGGCGATCCTCAGGGCTCTGTCCTCGGTCCCCTCCTCTTCACCCTCTACATGCTCCCCCTTGGTGACATCATCCGCAGACGTGGGGTAAATTTCCACATGTATGCGGATGTCACCCAACTCTACCTCTCTGCCTCAACCTCAACTCCAAGATTACTGGCATCCTGCCCGACTGCCTGTCCGACATCAAGTCCTGGATGAGGTACAACTTTCTCTAACTCAACATCAGCAAGACTGAGGCCTTCTCCGCACCTCGGGCACTGGCAGCATCAGCCTCCACGGCTGCACGCTCAACCTCATTAAGCCAGTCAGGAACCTGTTTGCCCTGAACTGTTCTTTCTCCCCCACATCCGCGCCATGACCGGCACAGCCTACCACCAGCTCCGCAACATTGCCAGACCCCGCCACTTTCTCACCCCTCAGGCTGCCAAAACCCTCACCCACGCATTCGTCATATCAAGAATCGATTATGGAGACTCCCTCCTCAACGTCCTTCCCACCTCTTCCCTTCACAAGCTGCAGATCATCCAAAACCCTGCAGCTCATGTACTCTCGCGCATCAGGCTCCATGACCCCATCACTTCCACCCTCGCCCGACTCGCCTCGCCCCTACCCCACCTCTCCCCCATGCCCGGGTCCTGACCTCTGACTGTCCAGCACTTTGGGCTGAAAGGCGCTTCTGACGTGAAAGGAGCTCAATAAATATCATTTTGTTGTTGTTGATCAATACAAGAAATGGGCTAAGAGACCACCACACATTTTACCCATTGTTGTATTTCTTTTTACCTTAAGCACGAAGCAGTAATCAGTTGGGGCTTTGTACTTTGCCTTGTATTGCATTCCATAATAAACATTCACGTTCTCAAACTGGATGAAGCAAATCAGGTCAGAAGACGTCTGTTGGAAAAGAGCAGAAGAAATAAATTGAAATCAGGTAAAGAGGAGACTGCTGTAGGTTTCATATTTGTTTCATTTCGCCCACAACATTCGCAGTCAATTCACTTCACAATATATTCTGTGAAGCACTTTGAGACATCTCAACGACGTGATGAGGTGCTATATCAAATGTAAGGATTATTATTATTGTGTAAATTGTGTCTTAACTGGATCTCAATTTGAGTTCTGATGAAAAGTCATTGAACTGAAACGTTAACTCATTTCCCTCTCTCCATAGATGCTGCCTGACCTGCTATGTGTTCCCAGCAACTTCTGTATTTACACTGAACTAGATGGACTGAGGGGAGGGACTGTGGTAAATTACAATACAATTTGCATTTATATAATAATAATCTTTCCATTTGGGAAAGCACCTTATCATGTCAGAAGGATGTTTCAAAGCACTTCACGAGATTTGCTGTGAAATGGAGTGACTGTGTATTTGTAGACAAACACGGCAGCACAATTGCACACATCAATGTCCCACAAACAACTATGATGGTTGTTTTTCTGACTACGGTTGTTTTTCTAACTGGAGGGAAGTCTGCAGTGGTGTCCCCCAGGGGCCGGTATTGGGACCACTGCTGTTTTTGATCTATATAAATGACCTGGACTTGGGTACAGGGAGTACAATTTCCAAGTTTGCAGATGATACTAAGCTAGGAAAAGTACTAAACAGTGAGGAGAATAGTAGCAGACTGCAAATGGACATAGACAGACAGGTAGACAGACTCAGATACGAGGCTGATGAAGTTTGATGTGGAGAAATGCAAAGTGATGCAGTTTGGGTGGAAGAATGAGGAGAGGCAATATAAGCTGATGGTACAATCTTACAGGAGGTTCATATAACTAAATCTTTGAAGGTGGCAGGACAGGTAGATAAAGCTGTTAAAAAAGCATACGGGATATTAGGCTTTATAAATAGGGACATAGAATACAGAAGTCAGGAAGTTATGATGAACCTTTATAAAACACTGGTTAGGCCTCAGCGAGAGACTGTGTTCAGTTCTGGGCACCACACTTTAGGAAGGATGTCAAAGCATTGGAGAAGGTGCAATGCAGATTTACCAGAATGGCACCAGGAATGAGGGACTTCAGTTATCAGGAGAGACTAGAGAAGCTGGGATTATTCTCCTTGGAGCAGAGAAGGTTAAGAGGAGACCTAATAGAAGTTTTCAAAATTATGAGGGATTCGATAGGGTGAACAAGGAGAAACTATTTCCATTGGAGGGTGGGTCGGTAACCCGAGGACACCAATTTAAAATAGTTGTTAAATGAAACAGAGAGGAGGTGAGGAGAAATTTTTTCACACAGCGAGTTGTTCGGATCTGGAATGCATTGCCTGAAAGAGTGGTGAAAGCTGATTCGATAACAACTTTTAAGAGAGAAGTAGATAATTATTTGGGGAGGACAAGTTTTCAGGGCTATGGGGAGAGAGCGGGGGAGTGGGATTGAATTGGATAGCTCTTTTCAAAGAGCCAGCACAGACACGATGGGCCGAATGGCCTCCTTCTGTGCTGTAAAATTCTATGATATGACCAATTTCATTTGGAGGATTATTGGCCAGAATATCAGGAGAAACTCCCTTCTCTTTTCAAATAGTGCCATGGGATCTTTAACGTCCACCTATACAGACACATGGGACCTTGTTTTAATGTCTCATCTGAAGAACGACACCTCTGACAATGCAACACACCCGCAGCTTAGACAATGTGAATTCAAGTCCCAACGTGGGATATGAAACCACAAGTTTCTGACTCAGAGGCGAGACTGCTATCACTGAGTCAAGCTGACACGCCTTTCATACCGGGAAGATTCCCAAAGCTCTTGACAATTCTGTTTGGGCACGAGGTAGGGAGGTGAGGAGGGGAAAGATGACCATGAGGACAGTCAAAAGTGTATGTTTTGAGACGTAACTTGAAAGAGGAGAGGGAGGGAGGGAGCAAGAGATCCGATCAGATTTGGGAATAGAGTTCCAGAGAGTGGGAGCTAAGTCGCACAAATACAAATTGTAAATCAGCACGGCTTCCAGGAAGCGTTCCGTGAGATCCTTGTCAAATTGGCTAGAGAACGTTTTCAGAATAAATTTGCAAGCTTTTTTCTTAACAGTGCTCTTAATTACCCAATTTAGAACCTGAATGCTCATTAAAGCTAAAGTTTTAGTGCCTCATTCATATTCATGAGCGCACGCAGTGAACAGCAAAAGAGAATTGTAAGCGGAGGAAAAAGAAATTAAAGAACACGTTTCAGAATAAAGCCTCAATAACCAGCAGAATCATTCGTCAGGGAAAATACAAATGATTGGAGATTCATTTCAGATTGTTACCCTCGAGTGATGACATTTTGGAACAAAGGAGTGCAGAGTGGAACCCTGTTAGCTGAAGCCCTAACAGGTACGATGGTGCTAGATGGTATCCCCAAGACTTGTCTCTTACTAGCCTGCTTCAAAGATGCTCCGAATTAGTTAAGCAGGGAGCTTCCCTCCACGGAGAGAGTGAGCATTTTGATGGCAGTTATTGAAGTTTTATTACTTTCATGTAAGTATATTATAAGTTTATTAGATTGACATAAAGTGCATTACATAGTGAATTCTGTGCCACAAAGTATTTCAGCGCTCTGGGAACGTTATCTCCATGAAGGGCGCTATGTAAATGAAAGTTAGTGTTGGCGAAGCAGAGAACCATGAATTATTTTAAGGGAAAATTAGACAGACGCCTGAAAAAGAAGAATATTAAAAGGCACTGGAAGCGAGCAGTAGAGAGAAATTAAATTAGATAGCTCGTGTGGAGAAAACCATCTGTACAGACTTGATAATCAAATGAAGTATTTAGAGTGCTGTAACATTTTATAGTTCTATCATCACGATCTGTAACCCTCAGTGCTACGCCTTGGAGTGAGGTAAGCAGGGTCTCCTTGCGGCTAAGGTGGTTCTAGGGTGGTATACCTAGCAATGGAATATCGAATCGAGTAAACCCTCAGTGGTAGTCTCAGTAGATTCCTGAACCAGGTGGGACTGCAGTACTACAAGAAACTGCTGATAGCTTGGCTCAGACTGGGAGTAGGGATTCTTCCCATTTGGCACATTAACCCTGCAAATCAAAGTCCATAATGGGTAAAAAATGGGAAAGCAGTAGAAAACATACCAGACAATGTCCATGCTGCAAAGCTCAGAGGTTTTAGCTGGTTAAACTGCAGTAACCCAACACATACTTTGGGGGTACTCAAGCCTTGTCTCTTGGCAACCTATTCCCAGCGCCTTGGGACATCCTCCCGACATGAAAGGCGCTATAGGTTGCCAAGAGACAAGGCTTGAGTACCCCCAAAGTATGTGTTGGGTTACTGCAGTTTAACCAGCTAAAACCTCTGAGCTATATATACAAATGTAATCTTGTTGTTGTTCAGAATAGTTTCCAGAGAGAGAATGTACATTCCATTCCAGGCACAGGGAGAATTTCCTTGCCTTGGTTTATGCGTGCACAGTAGAGTTCTTAGTCCGGTTTGGAAACTCTTTAAGTATGACAATGGGTTTCTGATTGTATCAGAACAAGAAAGAAGTGATCAGAGATGAACAGGAGATTTAGGGACATGCGTGACTGTTTAAGTGGTTTTGCATGACCACCTGCTCTGTACTGTAGTTTCAGGGACTCAAAGCTTACACTCACCCAACACCCAGATGTTATTAAAAACAGGATACACTGTAGTGTAGTGACTGTGTATTTTGTAGACGAATGAAGCAGCCAATTTGCCCACAACAATATCCCAGAAATAGCCATGAAGTAAATGTCCTATTTTATCTGGGGGATTGCTGGTCAGGCCACAGGTAAAAACTCCGTTCTCTTTTCGAATAGTCCCATGGGATCTTTAATGGCCACCTGAAGACGGGACCTCGGTTTAATGTCTCATCCAAAGGACAGCACCTCCAACAAAGTAGCACTCTCCAAGCATTGCACTGGCGTGTCAGTACAATCCCTTTCATTAATACCAGCACTCAAAGGCTAGATGCAAGGATTGGCTTGACCTAGGACTTCTTGGATTAGATTTTGCCCGTGGGTGGACCTGACATAATTGTAACATAATTATAGCTGTAAATAAGGTCATTAAAATTACTTTGGTTCAAGTATCAATCATTGAAGTTCACTGTAAAGAAAAACCTCTTTGTGTTTCCTGACCTTAGTCTTGCCCTTGGGAACGTAATAAATTCCAGAAGCTCGCAGGAGGAAGTACCGACGTTTCCATGACTTCTTCCCATCTTCTTTCACAAACAGAGCACTTTCAAGATCTGGGACGATGATAGATGTGCCACAGAAACATTCCTGTGTGAACAGATGCATTCGTTTTATGTGGCAGGAGCAATAAATAGTCAAAACATTTGAGTTAAAGAAATGGAACCTTATCTGTGAGCTACAACCAGGCCAGACACTTAAGCTTTTCAGCAATCTTAGCAGCGTAGTTTATCAAAATGATATTATCGGGAGTTGGGATGCTTGAAATTTACAGTCCTCAGTGTGAGGTAGCTCTGCATTAATTATGTAAGTATGAACCCAGTTGTTAGTCAACCAGCGGATCTCTTTTCCGGGATAATAATTACACTGTGATTTTCAGCAGTATAGAAAATATCTATTCACAGTAAATCCTGTGAAATGCTCTTAAGATGTCCTCCCGATGTCAAAGGTACCAAATGCGAGGATAATTATGATATTTAGTTCTACATTTCTGTGCTATTAATTCTGGTAATCTGTGGACTTTTACAAACTGTTTGATAAACGGAATTATAGGTGAACTGTGTGACACCACAAAATAGGACACCAACATTACACTCTACTTTGTGTTATTTAAGGAAAATACAGCCCTGTCCAGATAAGTGGAATCGCTCTCTGTATTGTCTAGATAAGAGGTTCCCAAACTCTCTGGGCTCAAGACCTCCCATGACATTAGGCATCCTGACTGAAGACCCCTCTCCACACAATAGATCCATCAAACTGAGTACCTTACTTTAATCGCAAACAACGTTTTAAAAGAATTAAAGAAAAGAAATTTTAAAAATACAGATTTGCCACCCGATTTTTTGTCACAAATCACGGAGCACTCAGTGTAAATTTAGTGAATGTTTTCGTGGAATTGTCAGGAGAAATTCCGGGCACTGAAATTCAACTATACAATACAAAATGACAACACAAAATAACATTTGTATAGAATCTTTCACGTCGGGAGAACGTGAACTCTACCTCTTCTTACCTCCTAACGTTTCTAAGGTGTAAAACCAGGACGTGAAAGACCTCTTACCTGTGAGCGCAGGAAGTTGGGCTGTGTGCTAGGTGGGAGATTTGGGGGGTTGGGAGGGAGGTGATTGAAACCGCGGTCAAAGAGAGAGTTTTTTTTAGAAGGGTTTTGAAATCAAAGAGGAACAGGGTGGGGCAGAGATAGTTAGGGAGAGAGCTCCAGACAGCAGAGGCAAAGCAGCTGAAAGTCTCGCCCACCATCAATAGTGCTGATGGTGGGTGAACTGTGGACTTTTTTGAATTTCCAAGAAAATTAAGTAGATCACAAGAACGGTTTATTAGGCGAAGAAGGCCCTTAGACCTAATTCTTCCAGAATACCCCCCGCACCCCATCACAGCATCAAGCTGGTTTTTTTAAATGAATCCAGTGTCCTGGCCTTAATCACCCTTCCTAGGAATCTGTTCCAATCATTAATTACCGAATCTGGGTGAGGAGAAATTTCTTGGTGTCTGTCCTTAAATTGACCTTTGCAACCTTAAACTAGTGTCATCTACTGTCTTGGTGCATCCCAAAGTATTCTCGTTGATTATCTCATTCCCATTTAAAATCACACATACCTCTATAAGGTCCCCTCTGAGATGTCTCCTTTCAAGGCTGAAGAGCCCTACCTTGTTGCTCATTGCTCATTCTTCTAACACTGGGTTTGCACTGCCTACAGTTTTGACCATTGTGACCTTAAGGGGCTGCTCTGGCCTTAGAGGCCGTCTGAATTCTTCATCTGAACTGATCTTGTAATGTTATTATCTAATCTCTAGGACCTGGGGTGCCTCAAGGCTCGACTATGGAAACTCCCTCCTTGTAAGCCTCCCAAGCTCGTCCCTCCACAAGCTGCAGGTCATCCAGAACTCTGCAGCTCGTGTTCTCTCCCGTACCAGGCTCCGTGACCCCATCACCCCCACCCTCGCCCGACTCCACTGGCTCCCCATCCCTCAGAGGATAGAATTCAAAATCCTTATCCTCACTTTCAAGGACCTCCATGGGCTTATCCCCTCCTACCTCTCTGACCTGGTAACCCCCTATCAACCTGTCTGTTCCTTCTATTTAGCAGGCTCCGGCCTGCTCCATGTTTCCCGCCCGACCCGCCCCATCATAATCAGCCGGGCTTTCAGCCTCTCTGCCCCAATCCTTTGGAATTCCTCCATCCCACAGTCCATTTGCCTTGCCTCCTTCATGGCACCAAGATCCTCCTTTTCAACCATGCCTTCGGCCGCTCTCCTTACTTTCTGCCCTCCTTTATCCCAACCCTGCCCCCCCACCCTACGCTCAGGTCCTGATCCCCGACTGTTCAGTGCCTTGGGTCGTCCTAACCCTAACAAATGTAATTTTTGTTGTTGTTTATGCCTGTGGGTACCAGAGCTCTTTGTGGTACTCTGGGTGGGACCTTACCAGAGCACTATATAGCTTACGTATGACTCAACTGATTTGGCAATATGGCACAGCATCCTGTTTGCACCGCTGTCGTTAAGTTCGTAGCATCGTGCATTTATCTCTATTGGACTCTATTTTCGTCCACAAAATACACAGTTAATCCGCTTTACAGTATATTCTGTGAAGCTCTTTGAGAAGTTTCAATGACATGATAAGACACTGTATCAAATGGAAGGATTATTATTATTATATTGAACTCTATTTACCATACCAAGCCCTGCTTTTTGCATTTGATATAACGCTTTTCACTTTGTGAGGACATCTCAAAGCCCTTCACAGGATATACTATGAAGCGTAATGACCGTGCAGTGTCGTGATTTTGTAGGTCAATTTACACACAGCAATTTCCCATAAACAACCATGAAATGAATGACCAATTTTATTTGGGGGTGTGTTTGGTCAGGACACTTATTATGACTTGTCCCATGGGGTTTTTAACGTCTTCGTCACCTCCAACAACACAGCACACTCTCCAGCACTACGCTGGGGTGTGAGTTGAGACTACGAGTTAAAAAAGTCCCGATGTAGGACTTGAACCCACGACCTTCTTGACTTAGAACTGAGAATGCTCAAAACTGAGCCAGACTGATGCAGTTTCCTGGCTCCTCCAGTTCTATAATTCCCTCCCAACTTGGTGCCATCAACAAGTTTAACTTTATTGCCCTGGGTCTGTGAATCAGGGGGAATTTCTGCCGTGTAACGTTTCCCCCCTCAGAACCTTACTCTGTGATGTGACACAAAAGTCTGCCTTAAGCCCCTGAGTAAACATTGACAGCACTGTGTGAATGCAGGATGTGGTGAACAGGGTGGAACAGGGTGTATCGCTAATTCAGAGGTCAGTTCTATTTAATAGAAAAGGATGTGGGACATCGTGTTTAATTATTTCATTTCAACATGTTGCTGATGCTGATTTGAACTTGCAAGCTTTGGGTGAGGCGGGGTGGAAGGGAGGGGCGGCGTGGAATGGAGGGGAAGCTGGTTTAAATAAGTTTATTTCTAAACTTGAGTGGTCGCCGTGGTCGGGTCAGGGGTGGGACCTGGAAAGGTATAAAATTAGAATTTGCAGCATAGCTAACCCACGTCAACCTGACTCAGTCTATAGCGCTCTATTCTGAGTCAGAAAGTTGTGAGTTCAAGTCCACGGATTGGTGTTCGTCCTCTGTCAAGCGCTTTGGGATGCTCCATAAATGCAAGTTGTTGTTGTTGAACCTCCACAACCTGAGAGGGCTACCAGCTGAGCCAGGCTTAACCAAGCACCTGTCATTTGTGCCACCATTGACGTCAATGGTTCCAGCAGTGACTGCTGGTCGGTCCAGGCAGCCTGACACTCGGAGGGTTTCTAATGCAGGAAATGCTGGCGATAGTCATTGTAGCTTCATCTGACTTCCTGTTCGCTGTGTACATATGCAGGAGGGCAGCCAGTCAGTGCCAGAAGCCAAGTTGCTATTCCCTAATGTACAGAACAAAACAAATTAATTGCACCGCACAATGGGATATAACATGCAGTTTAAATTTAGCATTTGTTCCCCTTTTCCAATTTTTTTTACTGTGTCCAAATGATTTTTCTCCCCCTTGTGTCTTGTGGAGAAAGACAAGGGGAGGGGAGAATAGCCATTCCGACACAGTAAAATTTTTTAAAAAGGGAAAAAATTGCTAAAATTAAACTGCATGTTAGATCCCATTGTGCGGTGCAATTAATTTATTTTGTTCTGTACATTAAAGGGAACTTATTGAGTAGAATTGAGCCCAAAAAGTAGTCATAGCAATAATAATAATAATCTTTGCATTGCCTTTCACATTGAGAGGATGTCTTAAAGCGCTTCACAGAATTTACTGTGAAGTGTTGTGTGTCTGGGCTCCCTAGGGAGATGGTGGAAGCAGAAAGTGTTGATTCTTTCAAATTAGATTTTTAGGAAATAATATTGTGGCAATACAGCAAATCAGGACGTAATTCAGGACATAAACAGATGACTGCAACTGAAGGATGGTGGAAGGCAAACTGGATTGACCTTGATCTTTTTTTGTCCAGCATTTCCTATTTTCCTATGTATTTAGTAGGCAAGACTCTGGTTCACATGTCTGGGTTAGACAGCTCAGCTGGGCCACTTGTCTCTGGTTTCACTTTCATGTTTTGTTGTACACCAGCTGTTTGTGCACAATTACCAACATTATATATGGGCTGAAGATTTGACAACGGAATTGATTTCTCCTAAGGATGACCTTACATGCTTGTTAAAAAGCTGGTTTAATTATTGAGTGGTCCAACCTTTCGGAAAGCCACAGACTGACATTGGTGCTTTTCCAAAGAAAAATGGGGGTTCCTTTTGAAGTGGAAGCTATTCAGTCACGTGTGCTATCAATCACAGGGCACGGAGATACAAGCAAAGAGCAGAAACCTCATTTAAAAAGGAGGAAATCACTGCACCATGAAATCACCTTTACTACCACTTGTAAACAGAATTAACGACAGCGGTGCAGACTTGGCGTAAAGCACTAGAAAGGTGTAAAATGTCATTTGTTACAGGATTTCCTGTGGGGAATTAAACATTAGCTTCGCCGACCTGCAGAAATTACACTCGGACATGCCTACTTCTGGAGAGGTCTGCTTTCCAGGACAATGTGACACTTCGGGTTACAGGTGGGAGTTGCTATTTGGGACTCCTTTCCCATCAGACATTCCACTTTTAATCTTGCTTATTAATTCTTTCCTTTAACAGTAATGGTTTATACATTCTTGTCCTTTGACTTATAAATGGACAAGTGTTTGGCAGCATAGAACCAGTGACTATTCACTTGTTGCTAGTGCCGGGCTAGGACAGAGAAAAGCAGAGTTGATCCCAGCCTTGCTCTGCTCTCTCCATATTTGTCGGCTTCATCTCGTTTTTGGTCAGCCGGGTGTCTGACACACGCGAAAACCCATCGCCATCCTTAAGATGTTTCAAACCAGACTGAAAGTTCCACGTGGGCATGGAAATTTCCCTGTGGTTGGAATGGACTTGCACTCTCTCCCTGGAGGGATGCACTCTGCCTGTATAATTCCGGAAAGTTGGCGAGAGCAAAGGATTTGGGGTCCCCAGAGTGTGCGTTGGGGAAAGAGCTGGAATTTATCCAGCCAAAACTGCATAACTTGTTATTGAGATGTATGCTGCTGCCACAGCTTTCACTTTTAACAATCTTGGATCCTCAGTTATTTGTACGCAGATTTGGGACCTCAGATCTCACTGCTTAAGATGGCGTGAAGACATCAGAAGGTTCACACATGTGCGGGAACTTTGGACCAGTTTGATTTTGCAGTCTGAGGCACTGATGTGTTACTAATCAATTCATTCTGTCAAATGAAATAGGGGCTCACAGTAAAGTGAGTGCCTTTATACTTATATATAACATCTCAGCACTTTGAGGCGCTATCCTGTGTGAAGAGTGCTATAGAAACACATGTTAATGTAGTTATTGCTGTAAAGTTCTGGGACAATAATAGTCTTGACTCACCTCCAGTAAAGCCTCCTTCCTTTTCTCCTTCATGTCCTTCCCTTCGTCTTTCTTCTTTGCAATGAAGAAATTCTGGTCGCGAGAAAACAAAGCAAGGTTACATCTCTGCCGGTGTGGGTTGCAATATTGTGACCTGTGATAACCCATTAATAACCAATGTATTAAGTGTCCGCAGATCTAGATGCTGGGTTAAATTGCTGTCCTTTGCCATAATCTGTGTCCGATCTGTAAATTCTTCAAAAGTGGTCCGGTGGGAGGGAACGTGAGGTGAGGGATTGGGGTGGGGAACAGTTTTTTTTATTCACCAGACAGTGCTCTAAAAATAAATTATCACATATAAAAATAAATTATTATAAAAAATTATTACAACAACATTTATATAGGTCTTTCACTCCGTGCAGCGTCTTGCTCCCTCCCTCAATGTCTTCATATCACACCAGAAGATCTTCCTCTTTGGCTGTGCCTATGGCCATCTCTCCTCTCTCCCTGGCTCAGCCTCAAGCTTCGCCAATGTTGAACGCTCTAAGACACTACCCCACATGAAGGGCTTTATGGAAATGCAAGCTGTTGTAAAGATTGTAATGTGAACAGAGACCACGGGCTCTGCCAATGCTGCTCATAACACTTCGTTTCTCACTTTGGCAATTTCTAAAAAGACGCATTGAAAGCTGTTAATAAGTGAAGCAGAACTGTTGGTTCATTTTCTGACTATGGAACATTGCTGCGTGCAAATTGGCCTCTGCATTTGCCTTACAAAACACACAGTCACTTCACTTTACAGTAAATCCTGTGAAGCACTTTGAAACGTCCTCCCGATGTGAAAGGCGCTATACCAACTGCAAGGATTGTTGATGTTGGTGTTATAACCGCACAGTATGGACTCCACAACAACAACAACTTGCATTTATACAGCGTCTTGGAACGCTCAGACCTAATGAAAGATCAGCAAGTGCTGCAGGGGAGGACGGGTTAGACCGGAGCGTGGAATAGCAGGAGGACCGCTGGTGATGTTGAGAATTTCCTCTTAATGCTTTTTTGGAATTAGCAACAGTGAAAGGAACAAACAAATGCCACAAGCATTTGGCAGCTGGAGCAGACCAGCACACAGCACTGTGGGGTACCTCGGGTGGCTATGGGAGGCACATTTCCTGTCTGATACAAGCTCACCCACTAGAAATGGGAACTAGAGTGTCTGACTCAAGGACTCACTGCCATTCCAATGCAAGATGGAGGAAGCTCTGACGACCAGGGGTCTACATTTGTATCCACGGCTTGGAATCCACCTTGATTGATTTGCAGAGAGGTAAGCAGATGATGCTCAAGCTCCACACCTCCAACTGGCGGAACCATCGCTCAATGGCTAGGGACGTGTTTCCAAGCTGTGGACAGAAGGATGGTGGACAGGACAATCTTCTCACGCATTTCATGCTGTGCTGTGCTGCTCACTGTATGAGTCGGAGTACTGTCAGATTGTTAGCAGGACTTGGAAGGTCAGAGAAGTCACTGAGGGGAAGGATTCTTCCCACTCGGTTCTTGTTGACCTTGCAAGGCTGAAGCCCAAACTGCTAAAGTGGATTCAGTTGAATAAGCAGCATAGGCCTCTGCTTGCTAGCTGGCAATGGTAAGCTGGGAGGGTTTAGCTGGTTAAAGTCCAGCAGCACTCTACTACACACTCTGGGGTCTCCAAGCCTTTGATTGGGTAAGAAGGTCCCTCTGGGAGGATGGAGTACACGTCATAGCAGACAGATAGAAACCATACATAATATAATAATCCTTGCATTTGATCTAGCGCCTTATCACGTCGTTGAAATGTCTCAAAGTGATTCACAGAATATACTGCAAAGTGAATTGACTGTATATTTTGTGGGTGAAACATGGCAGCCATTTGCACACAGTAGTGTCCCGCAAAAGTCATGGATTGAATGACCAAATTATTTATCAGATTTTTTTTTACAGTTATAAAACTGCCTTGCCTCCTCTATGCAGACTGCCTGACTTTAGGATTGAGGGATAAATTGGAGGAGCAAACATTGTCACTAATACAAATGGGTCGAATGGCCTCCTATTAGGTCAATCATAGGTTTTCTATGGTTCTATAGGTCTACATTTCTTGTATTTTCCCCACAGAAAACATTACTGTGCACCTCAACACGCTACTGAAAAAGATGAATGGGATGTTGAAGGAAACCAGTCTCATGTTACAAACAGTTAGAAAAGCCAGGGCTTTAGTCATAGCAATTTCCCCAAATGAGCTTGTTTACTTTCCTCTCTGCTTCTCCCCTGCCCTCCAAACTCCCTGACCCCGTCCCCCGGCTCGGGTCCATAACACTGTCTGTCCAGCGCCTTGGGACGTCCACATGACATGAAAGGCACTATACAAATGTAATTTTGTTGTTGGTGGTGTTGTTAATATTAAATGTACTTAAAATATAAATGCCAATCCTTTGAAATGAGCTCCAGACCTTAACAGTGTTTGCTTGTGCCTTGGAACACTGTATCTGAACCAACTACTGTCCTCTGAGCGGTTGTATAAGGAAACATCAAAAACTGTTTTGACATAACTTAATATCCATCTTCCACATCCCCTCTTTAATGGGAGCGATTGTCCTTTCTCAGAGGCCTCCTTTACTATGCACTGCCTGTGAAGTTTATACTCAGCTTTACTTGACTTGGTGTCACAGTGAAACTAGGAACTCAGTTGTTGACAATTTCAGCCACGTCCTCTCTTCTTTCTATCTCGGAATGAAGTGTGATTTTCTCCAAAGCGGTCATTATGATTTACTAATGCTATCAATTGCAATCAGGTTACAGCACAGAGATATGATTTCACAAGTCGATGAACAAGCACCACATGAGCATCTGCTTTCACAAATGTGTTCACATAAGTGCTGACAGCAGAAGAATGGAAAGTGTAATTATTATTTAAACATAGCATCTGTAGAATTGGGAGTGGGATTGTGTGGGGTGGGGGTGGGGGGGTGGTGGTGATCAAAAATGCTGAGTTTAAATGAAGATTGAAGGCATCCATTCACACCAATGCATTAATAAAATCAATGACCTTCCATTTGTTCAAGTCCTAGTACTAACCAAGAGGCTGACGTGGGTTTATTTGCTCAATAAGCTATTGAGGAGATGCAGCCGGAATTCTTGCAGCTGAACAATCTGGAATTCATCTCAGTTCATAACGACACACAGGAAATAAATGGTTTTATATATGTCAGGCTGTTTCTGCACAAAAAGCATCTGCAGACATCGTAGTCCATTTACCAATAGCCAAACATTACTATTTGAGTGGAGTCCTGTAGCTCACTGGTTAGAGCTCTCGCCTCGCAAGCGAGAGACCTGGGTTCAATTCTTGGCAGCGTGAAATATTGGGCAAGTTTCCTTAATTCACATGCCTCTGTTTATCTCGCAGTAAGTAGGAACGCGGTTGTTAGTCGATTGGTGGATTGCTTTTCCAGGGTAATAATTCCTTCAAAAAAAATAATAATAATAAATTGGTCACTTCAATCTATGACTGTTTGTGGGACACTGCTGTGCGCAATTGGCTGCTGTGTTTTGCCCACAAATATAGAGTCAATTCACTTTACAGTGTACTTTTTTTGAAGTGCTTTGAGACGATTAGAAGATGTGACAAGGCGCTATATCAAATGCAAGGATTATTATTACTACATCAGTTTAACTGCGGTAATATTGATACCAGCACTGGTCCTCTCTGCTTTGGGCAGTGGTTTTATGCATTTTAACGTGCTTTTGATTTTATTAATTAAAAATCTATGCATTAATATAAGTGCCCATAACATCAAAATGCCTCAAAGGGTTTCACAGGCAATTACTAATAAAGTGTAGCAACTGTGCAATTGAATACAGCAGCCATTTTGCACAAAATAATAATGTCCCACAACCAGTCACAATGGGAATGAGCAATGTATCTGGAGGAGAAACTTCTTTTTCAATAGTGTAATTTAACATCCACCACAAGACCTCATATTAATGTCTCATCTGAAGAACAGTCTGTCTGTCAGTACACCCACAGTCCCCTTGCATTACACTGGAATGTCCCTGCAGACTATGAGCGTAAAGGTCCAATGGTGAGGTTGGAACCCATTACCTGACTCAGACTCTGACTGAGCGAGGATTGATACTAAAATATTAAGGCATATAGGTTTTGCCTTGAAAACTCCTTCAAAATCCTCCTTATTTATCGTCCTCCCAAACCACCGGGTTCCTTCATCCCTGACATCTCCTCCCTCCTCTCATTCCTCTGCCTCTGCACTGAACACCTGATTATATTGGGTGATTTCAACCTTCATCTAAACTCCCCTTGCCTCGTAAACACATACTCACCTATAAACTCCGAACCCCCATCACACCATTTCTAGCCGGACTCCACGATTTCAAGATCCTCACACTCATTTTCAAATCCCTTCATGCCCTGGCAGCTCCCTACCTCTCCAACCTGCTTACTACTCAACCCACAACCTGCTGCCTCCACTCGACTGGCTCCATTGAACCATTGGTGGCTGAGCTTTCAGCCACTATACCTCCAACACTTTTCCTCTGTCCCTCCATCTTGTCCCTTCTTTCCCCATCTTCAGATCGCGCCTGAAGACCTTCCTATTTGACCGTGCCTACAGTCACCCACCCTTCCCCCCCCAGCTCGGCAATGTGCTCCGCCACTGTCAAGTGCTCTGGGATGCTGCCCTGCGTGAGGTGCGTTATATAAATGCAAGTTGTTGTTGCTGTTGTGGCATTGATTAAACTTTTTATACTTTGACTCGTCCACCTTTTTTGCTCACCTGAGGATTTTTAAAGACTGCGTACTTCTCCTTCTGCTCGACAAACAGGAGCTTGTTTTCGCTGTCTCGCATCCAGAGGGAGAGCGTCTCCACCATGTTCTCATCATCTTCTAAAAATCTCTCTGGAAAACAAGTCAGAAAAACGTTTAGCACTTTTGTTTCCCATTTCAGGCAACATTCCCCTTTCCCACTCCTGGCTTCTCCAGCAGAGAAACCATCAGGTTCACAAGATTGTTCTTTGGCCCATCTGATCTAATGCTTCCAGAATACCTACACCACCATTGTCCTGTCACAGCATCAAGCTGCTTTTTAAATAAGACCATTATTCTGACATCAATCACCTATCATGGCAACCTGTTTCAGTCATTAATTACCCTCTGGGTAAATGAAAACTTCCTGATGTTTGTGTTACCCATGGATTACCACCAACTAGATACGGTAAGGTTCTTCAGCCTTGGAAAAAATGTCTCAGAGAAGACCTTATACAGATACATGAGATATTAAATGATGTTGAGAAAGTAACACCAGAACAATACTTTCACATTCATCAGTGAAGCAGGAGAGGAGGAGACAGTTTCAAGGCTGTGAAAGGGAATTAGAAGACAGACACCAGGAAGTATTTCTTTTGCACAAAGGGAAAATAATGGGTGGATCAGGTTGCCAGGAAGAGTTGTTGAGGCTGGAAGCTGGATTAATTCACAAAACAGCACAATACTGTGATGGGTATATGATAGCTGAATATTCTGGAAAGATGAGATCAAATGGGTCAACACAGGGCATTCTACATCTGAACCTCTCTTGTGTTTAGTGGTCTGAGTCCATACCATTCACTAAAATCGTGAATATTTCTCCCAGTTAGAAACATATGTAATTCTAAATTGCAGGGGTTAACCAAGATAGGATCCAAATTGTCTTCAATAGGACCGGGGTAAATTGGGGTCAAGAGTAAAACTATGCTGTTTATGGTTAGCTCAAATATGGTTAAATCTAACAACAACATTTATAATGGAGCCCTTCATACAGGATAGCATCTCAGAGCACAATTAAGTTGAGTGCATCATCTGGAACCTATCCCCAAGTTAAACAGGCACACATCAGAAATAATTCTTGCATTTTGATATAGCGCTTTTCACATCTTCTAGATGTCTCAAAGTGCTTCACAGAGTATACTGTAAAGTGAACTGACTGCATATTTATGGGCGAAACGCGGCAGCCAATTGCGCACAGCAGTGTCCTAAAAACAGTCGTGGATTGAGTTACCAAATTATTATTATTTTTATTTATTTATGTTATTTATTCTATTTATTCATCATCACTTTGTGTTTTAATCTGTACAATGGTGGAGTCTTATTTACTCGGATTACTTTGGAAGTGTTTGGTTTCGTGACTTGTAAAATCGCAGTGTGAGGTGGATGAGCTCCTGATAATGGAAGCAAACACACTAATCCCATCACGTGTTGTCACAGAGAACCTACTGCACTCACACAATGACCACTGAGTGACAGCACAACCCCAGAGAAATCAGCATTTCCTTATTATACAAAATGCAACCCTCTAACAGGAAAAATACAACATGAGGCAAACAAACAGGTTTGAAAATATGGTGCATACATTTTATATTGTAAATTATTCTCTCTTTTTTCATTTTCGTCCATGAAATGAATCAGTAAAGATATTTGAGAGACAAAGCAGTGCAGGATTCTATGCTTATTCCGTTTTACAAATACACAGTCACTACACTTCACAGAAATGTTATGAAACTCTTTGAAGTGTTCTTGACATTGTAAGCTTGCAATTGCGGTCGAACGTTTGCTTGACCATTTGATCTCCTGGACTTAATTTAACTCTGTGGTTACCAGGGAGCTTTTGTTCTGAAATAGATCTCAGAGTTGACTGTAGGCTGGATCCACAAACCTCTGTTTTCTTTCTGCCAGTATTGACTTCCCAAACCACGAAAAACAGAACTTTTCGAGCTGATAATTCCACAATCACAGCTTGTTTGAGATCGCCTCTGAAGAGTGACTACAAATATCTTCACATGCCGTATCAAATGCAAAGATTATTATTATTTTTTAAATATTGTTCGGGCCAGAAGGAAATCAGTGACCATGTTTGGTCCTGTACACGTTATGCAACCAAAGTGACAGTCAGGTTCATCTCGGGGTGGGTGTCTTTGTCAGTAGGATCTATGTGCAGACAGTAAGAAAGGCTTATTCTGTCCTGTGAAAGTGCTGAAATCTTACAACATGCAAAGATATATAATGAATTTTGACTACTCGAGGTGCTTTTCAAATGTGATGTCAAACAAGTCTGTGATTGTAGAATTATTAGAGGGAAAAAGTCTACATTTTCTTTTGTGCGGTTTGTAGAAAAATCAATACTGGCAGGAAGCAAAGAGAGACTCCCAGTTTATAGTCAGCTATAGTTCTCCTTCAAAACAAAAGTTCCCTGGTGACCGCAGAGGAAAGTATCAAGGCTCCCATTAACTCTAGAAGATCAAATCCAACTTAAGATCAAACAATCTTTCGACCATAATTGTAAGTTCAGAACCATTTAAGATCAAATTTCCTGCCCTTCTGTCCATACCACAATAACTCATTCATCAAACCACGATGTGAATAGGGTTGCCGTGATCCCACGCCAAGTCTTTAACCCACTGACTTTATACAAATGCTGGCGCATTACTCTTCAATTAACACCAGATGTTTTCAATGCTGTTTATAAATTAGTTGTAGTACAGAATGATGTCAACCAGCAACACCAATTTTATGTTTAAATAGCACCTTTCAAAAGGCATCGCAGAGCCGACTGGGAGCCTGAGCTTTGGTGGTTGGAGGAGTGAAGAAGGTTGGGGATGGGGGTGAAGATGACCAAAAGTGCAGTTTAAAAAAAAAGATCTTCAGTTGGGTTTTAAAGGGGGTGAGAGGGATGGAAGGGGCAAGGCAGAGGGATTCTGAGTTCCACACAGCAGGGGCAGAATGGCTGAAAGAGATGGATGAAGGACGTGAGACAGGAGAGTGTTTACTGAGCAGAGGTTGTGGAGTTACAAGAGATCACAGAGTGCCAGGTGGGCTAGGCCATGGAAGGGTTTTGAACACGAGGACATGGATTTTGACTTTGATCTGCTGGGAGATGGAGCCAAGCAAGGATGATCTTGGATAATAATAATAATCCTTACATTTGATACTGCCCCTTTCACATTGGGAGGATATCTCAAAGCCCGTCACAGGAATTGCTGTAAAATGTAATGACTGTATATTTTTGAAGCAATAGTCTCAATCTAATATCCATGTGCATGGCAAAGGAAGGGGACACAAAACAGAGACCCAAAAAGTAAGAGGTTTGGTTGATTTTGCCATTCCCTAACCCCAGAGCACTGAGGACAACTGTAGTATCCCAAGAGGCACTTAACAGAACACAGATGGGATAGAACCATAGAAGTTTACAGCACAGAAGAAGGCTATTTCAGCCAATTGTCCGCTGACTCAATTAAAGAGCAATTCTATTAGTCCCATTTACCTGCCTTTTTACCATACCCTTGTGCTCTCATTTTTAAATACCCATGTAATTCCCTTTTGAAGTTACCCCACAACCTTCTATGTTCCAAGGCTGAGATTCAGGTTATAATATTGGGATTGTAAGACTCAGTTTCATATTGGGCGGAAACTTTACCCACTGAGCCAGCGAGCGTGTTCGGAATTCTCTTTAATGTCGGGGCTCTGAGAAAGCAATTCTTTGTTCAGAAATACAAATTATGGAAATTGCCTTTAACCGTTTTAAAGGAATACTTTTTTGACTGCGGGCAAGGAGAAACAACACATACAGCACGATAAATAATGTTTTATAGTGTTTACCAATCTGTAAATCCGGATTGACTTCATACAGGCACCAGTCCACATTACAGTCGCAATGAGACTTTTCAAACAAGTTATCCAAGATCTCACGGACAGTTTGTGTTTCATCAACCATCAGCGTTTTACTGCTCTTATCGTTCATCAGGACCTTGACGACCAGCTGAAAAGTAATCACAGTGATCAGGATTGAATACGTGCCAATTCCTCATTACTAACCATTTAGGTACTACAGCTGCTCAACCTAATAAGCTTTAGGAAGTGGTTGAGGGAGAGCTGGAGGTGTCTAATCCTCTGACTTTTAACTCCTTGTTGGGACAGTGCTTCATTTCCTCCAAGTGATGTGGCTCAGATCAGCAAAACTCCCCTAATCCTCACACTCTATCTGCTTGAAGTTATACTTCCATTGTTCCTTTTCTTCATACGGTCATGTGGCTGTCTTTACTCTGCCGGTGCCCTGGGACCAGAGGCTCAGGGTGGAGAATTGTGGGTGAATACAATGGGCAGATGTTTGCTGATCAGAGGTAGTGGCCGAGGTGGTAGGATTGTAGGAGGTTGCAAAGGTAGAGTGGGGTGAAGCCGTGGACAGATATGAATGTGAGGACTCGGGTTTTGAATTTGATCCACTGGGGGATGGGATGCCAGTGGAGCTGAACGAGGATGGGGGTGATAGGCTCACACATCCTAGTGCGAGAGAGGACACAGCCTGCAGAGTTCTCGATGGTACTCTGGATTCCCCATTAATTCAGTAAGAGTATAAAACCCTTGATAGTTATTTAATTGGAAAAACACACGTTGAAGAACACTAACCATTATGTTTTGGGTATATTGTGTTGGCTCTTTAAATGGAAGTGCATTTATGAAGAAATAACTGCTGATTTGGACAAAAAAAATCCAATACCAAACCAGTGTAATGTGTGAGCACTAACGTATTGGAATCTAATTCATGGTGTTTCTTAATCCAAGAAGAATTAATTCTTAATAAGAAATCAAAGACAAGAATCTCCATTTGCGTGACTTTGATTCCTTATTAAGAGTGTATTCTTCTTGGATTAAGAATTTCCATTAAAGCAGAAAGGACCTTGATGTATCATGGGACAATAGGAATTCTTATGGGATTCCTTAGTCAAGAAATATAGTCGAGGTCTTTACCTCTATTTTTACTATAAATGTTTGAACCTCTTGGGTATGCTATAAACCTGTAACGAGAGGGCTGAGCACTATGACTTGCTGTATATCATCAGGACTGGTCAAACAAAATAATACGTCAGTGGGATGGAATAATGTTGACTTCAGTTGGACTGGGTGAATTTCTTGTAAATTTTTAGGGGAATTCACTTCAAACAATTCTCCTGATCAGCACGTTTGAGTTTTTTTTTGTCCTAGGGTTTCAAATTGGAAACATATGTATTGTCAATTCTCAGCTAGTAATTTACAATTTACATAACATTAGTCTATGTATGCTATGTGCGTTTTTAAGACTTGGTCTATTTTAATGCCGATTGCCAAAATTAGTGATTTGTACTACATTTTTACAAATAAATTTCCCCATATGAAGACGAAGTAAAAAGCTGGCTATTTTTAGTGGTCAGCGAATGTTAAACCACAGAAATGATGTTGAAATGTCGCACATTTAATGATCAATAAATGGGAATCTGAGGCAAGCTAACAGGGTGCACAGGAGGAAAGTGATACCTAGGTTTGGACAGTACAGCCGTCTGACAAGGAGCCAAAGATAGAGCTGTTTTAAAGTGTAATGATGTTGACATTCTGCACCTCTGTCCCCCATTCCCACCTCCCGGCATCTGAAGATGGGGAAACTTGTTAGTTTGTGCGAAATGACTGGAGGAACATTTCAAGAAGTATTTCTTCACACAGAGGGTCGTGAAGATACGGAATGCTATAGCTGTAGAGGCTGAATCAATAGGGATGTTTTAAAAAGATCCCATGGCATGATGTGAAAAAAGAAGGGAGTTTATCCCACTCTGCAGATACCAGATATAGTGCCTTTTACCATGGGAGGACATCTCAAAGCGCTTCACATGATGTACTGTAAAATATAGGGGTTGTACCTCCTATACACAGCCAATTTGCACACAGCAATGTCCAAATACCATGAAATGAGTGACCAGAATACCTCTACTGAGTGATGTGACATGGAATGCGCAGCAAAGTGGTCGCCTGTTTTATTCGAGGCAGAGGGGAAGATCGTTTCTGCTTGCAAGCTGAAATTTGGGACCTGCTGACCTTTTTGACCTTGGCTTCCTTCAGCTTTTCCAAGGCGAGTTTGATCTTGTCTGCTTTCGCTCTGGCCTCTTTCTCTTCCTAAAGGAACAAGTTCATGAGAATTGAGAGACATCAGCAAATTCAAAGCTGGTTACAGTTATTAAAGCAACAGGTTATCTTTTTATTTTGAGACTATGACATCCTTTTCCCTCCCTGTAAAGCCATCTCTGGCCATGAACCTTCAACATTTAGAGATAGGTAGAGAATAATTCCCGTTAGCTCAGCCAACGGGTGGATCACAAGATTGGTTTGGGTGTGTAAGGCCCTTTGGCCCATCTGATTTCATCCCTCGAAAAAAAAACTTACCCTACCATTCCTGTATCATGGCATCAAGCTGCTTTTTAAATGAGTCCAGTGTCCTGGCTTCAACCACCATACCATAGGAATACAAAAGAGCACAGAGCAATTGTTTTGTTTAATGAAAGGAAATTATTTTCCTCTATAACATCAATTCACATTTGTGTAGCGCTTTCTGCATCGGGAAAGTCTTTCAACACAACTCAGCAGACATCCAAGCTGGAGGGGATCGGGGACAGCTGAGAAGGGGGACGGAAAGATGACTGAAAGTGTAATCAAAAAGATAGTTCTATACTGTAGCAATATTATTTATTTTCAGGTATAATAATAATAATATTCCTTGATTTGATGTAGCATTAGGAATGTCTCAAAGCACTTCAAAATTTGTTTGTAAAACGTAGTGACTGTGTATTTGTAGACAGACGCGACAGCCAATTTGCACACAGCATTGTTTCACAAAGAGCCATGAAGTGAGTGAACGATTTTATCTGGAGGCTTGATGACCAGGACACTGAGAGAAACTTCCTTCTCTTTTGAGATTCTGCCATGGGATCTTTAACGTCCACCTGATCAGGCCTCGGATGCTAAGGCAGGTATCATCTATTGCTGGATCTTATCAGGGCTGCCTGTTGCTATGGATTCTGTTTTGTAGCTAGCTGCTCAATTCGACAACTTCAGACCTCTGTTCAACACCCCCCTCTATCCAACGGATGATGGGTCGAGATACGAGTCTGCCATGTAGGCGAGTCAGGATTAATTGGAAGCTATTGGTGGCACTAAATGGTGTTGATGCCATTCCATAATGGCACACAGTCCAGAGAACTGGCAAAGAGTGTGATAATACAGAAGGCTGGCACACAGTGATGGCACTCTGTGATGGTACAGAACAATCACCGTCACTTCAAGAAAGTCTTTCAACTCAGGGAGCTCACTCCTCCACAGACCTTGAAAATCCAAGCTAACCCATCCATCCTCTCGGTCAGTGTTTTAAATCACTCTCAGTGCTGGAACATTTTATTACCCAACGAAAGAGAGAGGATGAACAAAACAAAACAGAAGAATTAGGGGAGATCCTATTGAAACATATAAGATTCTTAAAGGGCTGGATAAAGTAGACACTGAGGGTCTGTTTCCCCTGGTAGGAGAATCTATAACCAGGGGTCACAGTCTTAAAATTAAGGGTCAGCCTTTTAGAACAGAGTTGAGGAAACATTTCTTCACGCAGAGTGCAGTGAATTTATGGAATTCACTACCCCAGAAGGCTGTAGGTGCTCAGTCCTTGAACATCTTCAAGGCTGAGACTGATAGATTTTTAAAAAATAGAGGGGTTAGGGGATATGGGGATAGGTAATTAGAGTTAGGTCTGAAGATTAACCATGATCTTATCGAATGGCGGGGTAGGCTCGAGGGGCCGAATGGCCTACTCCAGCTCCTAATTCTTATGTTCTTAAAAGAATCTGCAAAATGTCACGTCCCCGCAGTCCCAGAAAGCTTTCTCCTCTATCACCATTATAGATAGGATTAACTTTCCAATTTAAAATGAGTTGTTGTACAGATTTTCAATCTTGACATCTGTATTTACTTGGGATCTGCCTTTTTTTGTGCAAAGTTCATTGAGGAATTGCAGCTTGATACACAGAGGCAGGGATTCCTTCCTCTCCAGCCCTCCTCCGAGACAGATGAAAGATAGGCCCAAGGCCCAGCAGTTGCCCGTCAATCGTTCTGTCAGTGCTTCGTGTGATCAAAGGATACTTGGGCCTGACTGTGGCTGGGACACATTCCATTTGAATATAATCCAGGGCAGTCAATCACTTGACTGTTAAATTCAGACTACATGCAACGGCCACTTGTTAAGCTTTCAATGATAATTATGGCGGTATTTTTCATTCGGACATATAGGGGTAAAAGTGTACTGTTCCTTAACTAACACTGAATCATAGAAATTTACAGCATAGAATAAAGCCATTCAGCCCATTGAGTCTGCACTTGCTCTCGTAGCAAGCTGTTCATTCAAACTATTTTCCACTGAGTGACAGCACATTCTTCCAAATAACTGGTCTCTTTCTTTTCAGATCCCAGTACCCGCTAATTTGTTTTAACTTTGATTGTTTTGTAAACTGTAATAATCTTTGCTTTTGTTAAAGAACCTTATCTTATGTCTTTGAGACTTGAAAGCGCTTCACCGAAAATACTGTAAAGTCAATTGACTGTATTTTTGTGGGTGAAACGCAGCAGCCAGTTGCACACAGCGGCGTCCCACAAACAGTTGTGGATTGAGTGACCAAATAATTATTTTTGTAAACATTTTTTTGAAGGGATTAATACCCCCGGAAAAGTGAACTTCTAATTCACTAACAACTGGGTTCCTACAAACTGCTAGGTAAACAGGCGTGTGAGTAGAGTAAGGAAATTTGCCCAATGTTTCGCCCCACATGGGAATCGAACCCAGGTCCTCTCGCTTGCGAGGCGAGTGTTCTAACCATTAAGCTACAGGACAACAACAAGATTACATTTGTGTAGCGCCTTTCACGTCAGGAGGACGTCCCACTGGACAGTGTACAGCATTTCAGAACCAAGCTGGGGTCAGGGAGGGAGAAGGGAGGGGAGGAAAAGGGGGGTGACCAATGGCATGGTCGAAGAGAAGGGTCTTGAGGCGGGACTCGAAGGAGGCTAAGGGGGGGGGGGCGAGGCGGAGTGACTCCATGACACAGCATGGTCTCCAGGTTATTTGTTTGTGGAATATTGAATTTTTGGCATTGATTTGCCAAGAAGGGGCAAAGCTCTTCCTTTCCTGGTTTAAATCTTGCTACACTCCAAAAAAATTTTTTGATAACGATAATAATAATAATCCTTACATTTGATAAAGAGCCTTATCACGTCTTCGAGACATCCCAAAGCACTTCACAGAATATACTGTAAAGTGAATTGCCTGTGCATTTTGTGGGCAAAACGATACCTTAAGAATGAGCTATAAGCAACGATTAAGCAAGCTCTTCAGTGAAGATGTCTCAGAGGGGACCTCATAGAAGTGTATAACATGGGATTGAAAAATAAAATCAATTGTGTAGGATGCACCAAGGCAGTAAAGGTCATGAGTTTAGAGAAGCAAAGGACAATCTCAGGACAGACACCAGGAAGTGTTTCTTTACTCAGAAGGTATTTAATCATTGCAATGGGTTGTCAGGAAAGAAGGCTGAGGCCAGGGCACTGGATTTGTTTATAAAGTAGCTTGATGGGAGGATGGTAGGTTGGGTATTCTGGGAGGATGAGATCAGATGGGCTGAAGGGCTTACTTCTTCCATACTAATCTTGTGATCTTGCCATCTTCTTTGATATTAGATCCTAAGTTCACGAGCCCAATTGTGCTCGTGGATACAGATGACACAAGAAGGATCCAGAAGACACTGACACAGTTGGAGATGAGGAGAGCTGCCCAGAGAACATGTTCGCAAGTTAGCGTCAAATCCACGAGTCTGAACCTATCCCCCCCACCCCCCTCCCTCTCTCACATGCACAGAACAACACACAACACAAGATCGCATTTCAGGTCTTCAGGAAATTCTTAATAAGACACAACAAAAAAACACACACACAAACTCCGGCCCCACTCGCCCCCAGTAATCCCTTCAAAAAAATAAATAATAATAGTAATGTGGTCGCTCGGTCCGCGACTGTATTTGGGACACTGCTGTGCGCAATTGGCTGTCGTGTTTTGCCCACAAAATATACAGTCACTCTTTACAGCATATCCTGTGAAGCGCTTTGAGATGTCTCGAAGACGTGATAAGGCGCAATATCAAATGCAAGGATTATTATTATTATTATAATTATTATCACTGACTACCAAAAATCTAGCTCAGGGCTTTAACCCCGTCGTACTCCACAGCCTCACATTGTCCTCACACTCACCATCCGTCAGTCAAACAACCAAAGCATAACATGGCAATGTGCCCTGCAGTTCTACATTTCCTTGTTATTAGATTTGATTTCAACCTTTTTTTTTACAGTTGCCTTCTGAACATTTACATGATAGAAGGATTGGACAATCACCATGTGGGACACCAAATCTTACCTGATAGAATACAACAACGAATGCATCATCAGTGTGTTAATGTGATATGTGGTCAAAGGTCTACTTATTTATCTAAATTTACCATTATTTAGCATTGCACCACATAAGCACCACATACAAAGGATGTCTCAGTTCGTAGAGCGAAACTGTACGCCATTATATGCTATGAGAATTATACGTTCACTTCCACTTTGTTTATTTTGCACTTCAATTGGAAAGCATTTTGCATTAGTTATTCAAGTTGAAGTCTTAACTATTTAAAGAGGAAGATCTTTTAAATAGGGATTCAAAGAATCTAATAAAATAATAATAATCCTGGCATTTGATATAGCACTTTTCATGTCTTCGAGACGTCTCAAAGCGCTTCACAGAATATACTGTAAAGTGAATTGACTGTATATTTTGTGGGCGAAACTTGGCAGCCAATTGCGCACAGCAATGTCCCACAAACAGTCATGGATTGTGTGATCAAATTCTTATTTTTTTCTTGAGGGATTATTATCAAGCGTGTAGAGTAAGGAAACTTGCCCAAAGATTCGCCCTGCCAGGAATCAAACCCAGGTCTCTCGCTTGCGAGGCAAATCCCCTAACCACTGTGCTATAGGACTCCATGGTTGAGTTACTCAATGAAGAGGAATAGTCTCTTCCTGTTCTTATGTTCCTAATCAATCAATAAATAGTGGTCAGAATGATTTTTAAATGGGATTGATATCCCTTCAAGTATTTCCCAACTGAACACACAATAATAATCATAATCTTTGCATTTGATATCGGCCCTTATCACGTTGTTGAGACATTTCAAAGTGCCTCATAGATATATACTGTAAAGTGTATTGACTATATATTTTGTGGGTGAAACGCAGCAGCCAATTGCGCACAGCAGCGTCCCACAAACAGTCATGGATTGAGTGGCTAAATTATTATTATTATTTGTTTTGAAGAAATTATTACCCCGGTTAGCGATCCAACTAGCAATCGGGTTCCTACTTACTGCTAAGTAAACAGAGGCGTGTGGAGTAAGAAAACTTGCCTAAGGTTTCGCTCCGCCCAGAATCGAACCTGGGTCCTCTCACTGTGCCCTATTGACTGCTACGTTTCACCAACAAAATGTACAGTCAACTCACTCTATAATAATAATAATCCTTGCATTTGATATAGCGCTTTTCACGTCGGGAGGACGTCCCAAAGCGCTTCACAGAACACACTGTAAAGTGAATTGACTGTATATTTGTGGGCGAACGTGGCAGCCAATTGCGCACAGCAATGTCCCACAAACAGTCGTAGATTGAAAATGACCAATTTATTATTGTTTTTGGTTTTGGAGGGATTATTATTAGGCTCTGTGTGGAGTAAGGAAACTTGCCCAAGGTTTCGCCCTCTGCCTGGAATTGAACTCAGGTCTCTCGCTTGCAAAGCGAGTGCTCTAACCACTGAGCTACAGGACTCCACTAAAACAATAATTCTTGCATTTTCTACAGTGCCTTATCATGTCATTGAGATGCCTCAAAGTACTTCACAGGATTTTATTGTGTTCTTCGTAGGTGAACGAGGAGGTCAATGTGCAATTCTAAATATAAAATATGCTTCTACCCTGTGACTGGCAATGTCCCTCAACCTCCAATCCAACCACTGGTCAGATGATAATAATAATAATAACAATCCTTGCATTTGATATAGCACTTTCCATGTCTTCTAGACGTCACAAAGTGATTCAGAGAATATGCTGTAAAGTGAATTGACCATATATTTGTGGGTGAAAAGATATTGAGAGTCACATCTTTGAAAATTGTCTGAGAAAAACAATTCTCCAGCAAAGCTTCACTTTGGAGACCAAACAACAGCTCAAAAGTGATTGTCACCATCTGGACTCTCTTATTTGACAAAAACACAACTACAGAGAATTACCATTACTTTTGTAAATGTGCCATTTAATAGTCTCCCTATTGATTTAGTTTTAAAAGTTTATTTTGGGGGAGGAGGAGAAAGTGATTGGATAGTGCGTGTGGGTGGTGATGGTGGTTTGGAATGGGTGGGAGTTAAGTTAACGTTGACATAGATACAATTGTCAACCAGTCATCAAGGTGCTGCAACTTTGACTGCCTGCGGCAGTCCAGTTTCCTGGAGCTCAGTGGCCTCCATCAGTGCCAGGAAACTGAACAATTTTAATCTCTGTCAATGTTAACAACTCAATTTCCACCACCACCACCACACAGACACACACAATTCAGCACAGTCACTATCTCTTCATCCCCCAAAGGAAATATTTACTGACCCATTGGGTCTGCACCGTCCCTCAGAACAAGGTGGATATTCAATCTTACTTCTCTGCCTTATCCCCCAACCCCTTTCAATCCTCTATCTTCCATAGATCTGTCTACTTACCTCTTGACACCCACAATGAACTCTGCTTTTACCACCTTACTTGGCCTATGCGGGGGGCTGGAGGAGAAGCCGTTCATGGAGACAAGATGGAGACCGTGGGATAAGCATGACAACAATAAATTACACTTGTATAGCACCTTTCATGTCGAGAGGATGTCCCAAAACGTTGGACAGACAGGGATTTGGACCCGAGCTGGGGGTTGGGATCAGGAGGGGTGGCGGGCAGGGAAGGTAGGGGTAGGAGGGTGACCAAAGGCGTGGTTGAAGACAAGGTTAAATCAACGTTATGCTGTAATTCTGCTTACTGCCAGTCTCGTGCCACAATGTATAATAAGTTCACTGTAGTCAGCTTCTGGGCACAGCCATTGAAAAAGGTGTCAGAGGGAGATATCTATTTTTACCTCCACTAGGAACCATCGATATGTTAATCATCAACAGGTTACCTTTCCAACGCATAAGTTAATTAGCACCATCTACGTTAATGAAAACATCACATGTAATAATAATTCCTGCGTTTGGAATAAGGTCATTCGTGTTAAGGAGAATGTCTCAAAATATTTCACAGGAGATACTGTAAAGTGCAGTAACTGCATTTGTAAGTGAAAGCAGTAGCCAATTTGCTCACAGCTATGTCCCACAAACAGCCATGAAGTGAGTGACCCAACTGTCCAGCGCCTTGGGACGTCCTCCCGACGTGAAAGGCGCTCTATAACTGGAATCTTGTTGTTGTTTAGTGCCCAATTTTATTTGGGGAATTTTTGGCTAGGATATCAAGAGAATCCCCCTTCTTTTTTCAAATAATGCCAAGGAATCATTAACATCCTCCTGAACAGGCAGATAGGATGTAGATAGTGCTACCAACTGAGCCAGAAGGCCACATTTCAATTTTCATATTTACATTTCCCCTTTTTGAATACCAAAAACACAGGTAAAGGTAGAACAATAAATAATAATAATCCTTGGATTTTATCCATGATAAGCGCCTTATCATGTCGTATCTAGCCAGCTCAAAGGGCTTCACAGGATACAGTATAAAGTGGATTGAATATGTATTTTGTAGGCGAACACACAGTCAATCCACTTTACAGTACATCCTATGAAGTGCTTTGAGACATTGGACAACTTGATAGGTTCTCATAGACACAAAGTTAGAAATAGTAGGTTTTTCTATTTCAGCAGCTACATTAGCAAGTTCAGTAATAGTTATCAACCAAACTTTACAGTTAGGGGTAACCAAATTAGGCCTTTTTTTAATGACAAAGCGAGGCTTCTGCTTTGTTGAAAGTTTAAAAATAACAGATTTGTAGCAGCAACACAAGTGATCTGTTAATTTTCTTCTGTCGTTCGGTTTCTCAAGGCTTTTAAAGTTGTTTAAGGTGACTTGCTTCGACAGGGCATCGATAACCATTGCCAACTTCCTTTGGGAGCCCATAGACGACATGTAGAATTGTCCGCTTCCAGAAGTTTCAATTGTTGTTCAAATAAACATCTTCTTGTAGGAAATATACTACACGCGCATCCAGGGCACTATTACAGGAAATTAGCGGGCAGCCACCAATTTAAGATAAAAGTCAGCAAAAATGTCCACACTTAATGAATGCTTAATATGGCAAGTTTCTACCCGCTGGCACTTGATACTTTCCTGTTTTTTCTTCCCTCCTGTTTTCTCTCCTTTTCTCCTTGCCCCTGCTCGTTCAAAGGTACTAAGTTACGCTTGGTTCCACGGGTTCCACCAGCAACCATTCTCTACATGAGCTGAGGCAGTGAGTGTCTGCAGAATGTTAAGCTTGATAACTTGTGGAAAATGAACCCTTACCTCTGTCAGTGGTTCCGGAGGTTCAGTAGGTGGTGGTGGGAATTCCAGACAGGCTAAAGCGGGAGGGTTTGCACACTTCTTTAGGATTTCAGGAGGTCTCTGGTTATGCACTGGTTGTGCAGGGAAGCATGACATATCAGAGGTCCTCTGAGGCTCTGGAGCTGCAAGGGTTTGCGATGCAGCGCTTGTTGCTTTTGCGTTACAGATTTCCTCAGTCTGGTCAATGTCCGCCATTAAATCTGCCATTAAGGCATCAAAGTCCGTGTCTTCCAATGAATTGAGAGACTCTAGCAGAGAGAAAGAGGAGAAAGATGTAAGAATGAGGGCAGGTGGAAACCCAAATAAGCAAAATGAGAAGAGTGGACCTTGATTTGATGTTTCACGTGAAGGCAGGATAGTTAGGGCAACATGGCAGGATTCGTCTGGCTCAGTCGGTAGCACTGTTGCTCCTGAGTTAGAAGGTTGTAGGTTCAAGCCTCACATCAGGACTTGGAACTTATCTTGTCTCGGCCAGCTGTGGGCAATCTTTATAGTCAGCCAACAAAATACATTTTCTTGATTGAATATTTTTTGAGTTATACCATAAATCAAGAAATATTCAATCAAGAAAAACCTGGAAACAAACTACCGATCGAACATAGACTTGCCTGGATTAATGTGAAGGCTAGTGTGGTGGTGGTGGACAGGGGCGGGTGCAGGGGGGGGAGGGGATTGGGGCGGGGGTGCTTTTATCGGCCCTGTGGGCTACTTCTGGCCCGCGAGCAGTAATTTAGAATCATAGAATTATACGGCACAAAAGGAGGCCATTCGGCCCATCATGTCTGTGCTGGCCCTTTGGAAAGAGCTATCCAAATCAATCCCCTGCTCTCTCTCCATAACACTGCTTGTCCGCACCAAATAATTATCTACTTCTCTCGTAATAGCTGGTATTAAATCGTCTTCCACCACCCTTTCAGGCAATGCATTCCAGATCCAAACAATTTGGCTGGTACTGATCTAGACTGACACTGACACTCAAATGCAATACGGTAGTGGGGGAGGGAAGAGTGGCATCCTTCGGGTTAGATGTTAAACTGAGGTCTTGTCTGTCTGTTCAAGTGGGTGTTAAAGGCCCCAAGGCATTATTTGAAAGAAGAGAAGAGAGCTTCTCCCAGAGTACTCCCAACAATCCTCCAAATAAAATTGGTCATTCACTTCATGGCTGTTTGTGGGACATTGCTGTGCTCAAATTGGCCTTTGTTTTTGCCCACAGAACACACAATGACAGTATATACTGTGAAGTGCTTTGAGGCATCCCCGAAATATATCAAATGTAGGATGATGATGATTTTTATTATTATGGTGACACATTACCCGCCTGTGTCCATACCTCACAACCAAGCAGCAGAAACTTTCATCCACGCCTTCGTCACTTACCGGCTGGATTATTCCAATACACTCCTCGCTGGTCTCCCCAGCTCCACCGTACACAAAACTCAACAAATTCAAAACTCTGTCACCTGGATATTCACCGGCACAAAACTCCATACGCCCATCACACCAGTCCTTGCCAGGCTCTACTGAACCGAACGGATCGAGTTCAAGATCCTCTCACTCGTTTTGAAACCATTTAATTCTATTGTAGTTTCCTACCTAACTGAATTGCTTACCTGCCTCTCCTGTTGGCTCGGTGTCAGACTCCTTCACTCTCAAGTGCTACCCCAGGTGAAGGCACTATATAAATGCAAGTTGTTGTTGTTGAAAAGTAAGGTATGGAAGTGATCATTGTCACTGGTGGTAATTATCATATTGCTAAAAGTGCAATCCGAGGAGTTTACATTTCAGAATATTTCAGGTAAACCAATGTTGCCGCTACTTCACCCCAGCAGGTGTGTTCTTGGGGTGCACACACTAAACTTTGAATACGTTTTCATTGCAACGCAAGATCATCAGAAAATGATTCGGGAAATTCAAACCAGTGAGGGAAAGAGACCTTGTATTTTGCTTGCTGCAAGCTTCTGTTTCATATAAATGTCAATGCTGCTTCCTTCCCTGTGCAAACATTTTCTAATAAGTACATCCAGCGCTCCTGTCAGGTTTTCTTACCTTTCACGTCTGAAAAGCCAAACGAGAATTGGAAATCCGTGTTCTGACTGGAACTCGAAGGAGTTGGAGATGGAAGAGTCTCTACCCCTAGACTCTGTAAAAAGATTTGGAGAACACAATGTTTATATTTTTAAACAGTCTAGTTGCATAAGGTATTTTCCCCCTCCTGGATGCCTCATGTTGCCATTATTTTTTTTGTTTCGCCAAGTGTCTGACACATGCAGAAACTCATCACCATGCTTAAGAGTATCCAAACCAAACAGAGTTTCACATATGTATGCCATTTACATGGAAATTTCCCTGGGAATAGAATGCACTCTCTCTCTCTCCTCTCTCTCTCTCTCCTGGGTTGCACCCTGCTTACCTAACTTCAGAGAGTATTAGGCGCAAGTGGGCAAGAGCCAAGGCTGGGGGACCCGAGCGTGTGCACTGGGGTACAGCAGGAGTTTAACCAGCAAAAGCCGCATGGCTTGGAGAACATCGCCTGGCAGGCTTTACATCCCTTGTTCTCGGAAAAGATGACAATATCAATGGCTTGGGTGCTGGATTGGATCGCCACCTCATTGAGAGCCACTCCATAATTGATGGATAGGCTGAAACTAAGTACAGAATGCCCAAGTTTTTCAGCACAGAATGTCATTCTGCCCATCATGCCATCGCTGGTCCTCTATAAGCACTATCTGTTTACTAGGTTCGCTCCACTAACTTTGCAACATATACTCTTTCATGTATTTTCCCTTTTTTCTCGCTAACTGAGAGTGACACACTCAGGAGTAGCCAACTGACAAAGCAAAGAACCACAGAGGCTCACAATTTAATTGTTTTCCCCCTGAAATAATATTCAGAAAAAATATGGGCATCGAAGATTATGAACCACAAAAGAATATGGGGAATCTAAACGTATCTGTGTGTTTTCATAACAGCCTGAAAAAAAATCCCACTTCAAAAACCACTCCAGGTAACTCAACCGCACATCAAACTCAAAATGTAGAATAACAAACAGCGGACAGGACTAGTACCTGCAAGAACTTGTATGAAACATTTAGCTGTGGAATACATTTGTACAATTTGTACATACAACAACATAACTATGCAAACACTCACTGCTACTCAATTCCCTGTGAAGCTTCACTCAATTCCCTTTTGAACCACTAACAAAATTATGCAGTGCTGAAAATTGTTAGTAAACTTTCCTAGCTTTGCGTTAGCTGTAACTTTAATAACTTTTTAACAATGTTCAGAAGGCACTTGGCTCTTTTGTTCTTTGTTTGTTCTGATGGTTCGGTGAGATTATGTAGTGAGTAGCTGAACCACACAGACTGGGAAGGTCACAGGTTTAATAAATAACTGGTCTCACTCAGGATAAATAAGATCATCCTTACATTTGATAAAGGACCTTTCACTTCGGGAAGACATCTCAAAGTGCTTCACAGGATATACTATAACGTATAGTTACTGTGTGTTTTGTAGACAAATGTAGCAGCCAATTTTCACACAGCAACATTCCACAAACAGCCATGAAGTTGAGTGACCAATTTTATTTGCGAGATTGGTGGCCCAAATCACTGGGAGAAATTGCCTTCTCTTTTCGAGTAGAGCCATGGCATGTTTAACATCTACCTGAAGAGGCGGAATGGTCCTCAGTTTAATATCTCATCTGAAAGACCTTATGCTCAACAATGCAGAGCTCGCTCCAGCACTGCACTGTAGTGTTAACCAAGACTGTGAGTTCAAAGTTACGATATGGGGCTTGAGCTCACGACCTTCTGGCTCAGAGGTGATAGTACCATCAAATGAGCCAGGCTGACAGATCGGGTAGCAAGAGGGACAATTAGAAGTGACCTTTTGTGTGATGGTTGGGGGTCGGGTGGGGAGGTTGGTGGGCAAAAAAACAGCCAAGCACTGGGTGTCCTGCAGTACTGTACCCAAGCATTGAGTAAATTGTGAGGCTTGGGAGTGAGTCTAGTAGCCTATTCAACTCTGAGGGGCATGTGTTTGATCCTATCCTCAACCAGGGTTGACACATACTGCCTCCAGCAGTGATTGCTGGATATTGATTAGGAGCAGGAAACCTGGCTGAGTTTTCTTCTCCTTTACACGGAGCACTATAACAAAAACAAATTACGTATGCATAGCGTCTTTCATGTCGAGACGATGTCCCAAAGCGCTGGACAGTCAAGGATGTGCACCCGAGCAGGGGTTTGGGATCAGGAGGGGTGGAGGGCAAGGATAGTAGGGGTAGGAGGGTGACTGAAGGCGCGGTCAAAGAGGAAGGTCTTGAGATGGGTCTTGAAGAAAGAATGGGAGGGAGCGAGGTGAACCCTATGGATCTGTGGGATGGAGTTCCAAAGGGTGGAGGGCAGATATGCTGAAGGCCCACCCGCTGATGGTGGGGTGGGCAGGGTGGGGAACTTGGAGCAGACCAGAGTCCCCTGAAAGGAGGGAGCGGACAGGCCAGTATGGGGTAAGACCACTTCTAGTGTCCCTTTTGCTGCTGTGGCTGAGATCAGATATTAAACATGTGACCTTCCCAGTCTGTATGTATGTATTGCAAAAAATAGAAAGTGGGAGAATTTTCCACTTGTCAGTACATCTGTACGCTTACAATACTTTTTATAGGCACTGCTCGCCAACAATTTCTGTAAATTTACTGACAAGCCAAAAAACATAGCCTCGGGTGATGTTATTGTGCTCGACAAATCCAATTTGTTGTTGCGGTGGTCGAAAAGATCCATCCCCAAATCAAAAATCACCAGCCATATTTTGATAGAGGTTCTGACCCTTTAAGCAAACCAATCAGTGCGGATTGTGTGAATCCATCTTCAAACAACCACTAAAACATTTGATCTAAAACCTTTTCTTTCTCTCCCCCAGTTATTACAGTCTCTCTGCCTTTCCAATCTGTTTTGGATTTCTTACACCGTTCTTACACAAGTTCTAATGAATTTTCCACACCCGATTTAGGTAGAAATTGTTTCAAAATATAACTAACCTGTGTCAGCAAGTCCATCTCCCCTAAGAGATCACTGAACATGGCATCTATGTCATCGGTGGGATTTCCCCCTCCGGACTCCATCTGTAAAGGTATAAAGGGGTCAATCAAGAGCTTTGTAACAAGACAAGAAATTATACAAGACTTTTAGGAGCAGTTTATAACAGTGCCTTAGACTGTAGTTCGTTTCTTACAACAAATAATAAATATTGCTGTTTCAGCACTTTTGCAGGTTGTGGATATAATGATTGGAGAATAATGTTTTTTTTGATATAACTGGTTCTAAAACAGGTGAAAAAAATCAATGACACGAAGGAGTCAGCATGTAAGAATTTCTAGCAAAAGGAAAAGGCCATTTGACCCAACAAATGCTTTGATGTTTGCACCAAACAACTTTTACACCAAACTCCACACACCCATCACCCCAAGCCCTCCACCAGGATTCACTGTCTCCCCATCTTGCAGCAGATCAATTTTAAGGTCCTCCCCTCACCTAAAAATCTATCCACTCTCTGACATTTCCTTATTGCTCCCACCTTCTCCGATCCTACTTCTCCGCTTGCCCTTTGCTTAGCAATTTTGGGCTTGTGTGTCTCCCCCCCCACCTGCTCTGCGCTGTCAATCCCTCCACTTTGTCCCCTCCTTGCCCATCTTCAGATTGAATATGAAGAGCTTCCTCTTTCGCTGTGCCTACATTCACCTCCTCCCTTCCCCCAGCTTGGTATCAAGCTTTACCACTGTTAAATGCTCTCCGGCAAGGTGCTATATAAATGCAAGTTGTTGTTGTTGCCACCATTTACATGAGGGATAAAGGAACATAGCAGTATGGAGATGGTGATTGGGAAAGGTGCAGATTGATGTGAATATAAACACCAGCACAGACTAGTTAGGCCAAATGGCTTGTTCTGTCCTGTAACATTCTGTTTAATTCTTGAGTTCAGATTTGAATCCATTCCCATAGTGAACGAAAAGTTACGGTCAGCTGTGTTGATCCCCCTCGGAATCTGGAAAACGTCAATTAGCTTCTTCAAAAGATTCCCTTCAAAAAATAAATAAATAAAATAAAAATAATTTGGTCACTCAATCCACAACTGTTGTGGGATACTGCTGTTCGCAATTGTCTGCCACGTTTCGCCCACAAAATATACAGTCAATTCACTTTACAGTATATTCTGTGAAACTCTTTGAGGCATCTCGAAGACGTGATAAAGCACTATATCAATTGCAAATATTATTATTATTGTTATTATTATTATTGTTATTAATGCAGTCGAGCACCTTATTTGCCTAATTTAGTTTAACAATAAAGAATGATTAAATTTAACGGTTGCTTTATATGCAAAAATCTTGGGGGCTTTCAGCTGATTGCCTGGGGTTACGCTCAGAGGGTGGTTCAAAGTGTGAACAAAACTAGCTTAATACATTCTCCTGTAATCAGACCCATATGTAGTTCAGACAGATCCTCTGAATTGAGTTGAGTCTAAAGTTCAAAGAATGAGTATTGAAAATAACAATCCTTGCATTTGATATTGCGACTTAACACATTTTGAGATAAAATAATAATCCTTCTATTTTGATATAGCGCCTCATCATGTCTTCGAGACTTCTCAAAGTGCTTCACAGAATATACTGTAAATCGAATTGACTGTATATTTTGTGGGCGAAACGCAGCAGCCAATTGTGCACAGCAATGTGCCGCAAACAGTGTCCCACTAATGGAATGAGTGACCAAATTATTGTTATTTTATTTATTTATTTTGAAGGGAGTATTACCCCCAGAAAAGCGAACAGCCAATTGACTAACAACCAGATTCCCACTTACTGCGAGGTAAACAGTGGCGTGTGGATTAAGGAAATTTGCCTAACGTTTTGACATTCTGAAATAATTTTCAAAGAACTGAAAGGATTCCTTTGAAAAGTCTATTTCAAGATCTAACAACCCTGAATCCTTTTAATTTCCTGGAACCTGCCTGGTTCCTTTTTCAAACCCCTTATAGTTCCTTCTTCCACAATCTGTGCCAATTCCTAATTTGCTCATTACCTTTTCATAGGAAAACATATTTTCCTGCACTTCCTATTTGCTTTTGTTAACCTTATTCTGTAAGTGGGACCTTTGGTTTTTAGAATTTTCTACAAGTCCAAAAAACTTACCTTCATAATTTAAACCTCTCAGGCAATTCTCCTTTCAAGAGCAGAAAGTCCTATGGTGGCCACTTGCATTTATATAGATCTTTTATGTAAAATGACGTCTAACAGTACTTATCACCTAAATTCTGGAATTAATCTAGTAGCTCTTTGCTCCACTCTTTCTAACAACCGAATTTATCAATCCAAAGGGCCACATGCCCTCTTCACTCTCTTCACCTTTCACCCACCATGGCAAGTTGTCAAACATGAAATGCCCTATACATAAATGTAAGGTTGAGACTGAAACTACAGCCAGTAATCCAGATATGAACTCACCAAGAACCAGGTACATTGTATTTAGAAGTAGACCATTCGGATGTCAGCCTGCTCCACCATAAAATCTATAGTAAGCCTTTAATTCAATTCCTCCACTTTTTCGCCTTATTCTGCAAGATGCTTACTTACCAAGTATTGATCTCTCTCTCAAATATCTTATTAACTCTGTATCCATGGCTTTTTGATGTGGTCTATTTCCCATTCTCACATCCCTTCACCCGTTATGTAAAGAATGCAACACTCCCCTACCATCAACACAGAGCTTTGAAATGAAAGTTATCATCCTCCTGTCCTGCATTCTCCAAGTATAGTGAGAAGCTATAAAAATAATAATAATAATCCTTCCGTTTAGCGCGTTATCACATATTCCACAATACTCTGAGTTTTGCGAAGACAATGATCCCAGTTCCTTTATGGAGAAGTTTATGCTCCTGAAATCTGGGATCCAGGAAAGGCTTTCAATCTTAATAGCTATCAATCCTCCCTGACTGGGAAACCGGAACCCAGATAGTGCCCACGCTGTGCCCATGAGGAAACAGAACTATTACGAGAACAATAAAGAAGAGAATAGAACAACAACGACAATTTTAATTTTATCTCGTGCCTTTCACGCCAGAAGGCTATCTCAAGCACTTCACAGTGCCAACCGAGAGCCTGAGGAGGAACCAAGGAAGGTGGTGGGAGCTGAGGAAGTGGGGTGGGAGTGGGGTGGGGGGGAATGGTTGGCAGAGGAGGGAGGGGGAGCCACGTGAACAAAAAGCACGGTTGAAACAAAAAGATCATAAGTAGGAGGGTGGGGGGGGAGGGGCTTTAAAGGTGGGGAAGGAGAGGATGAGGTGGAGGGATTCTGTGATGAAGTTCCAGAAAGCGAGGGCAGCATGGACGAAAGCTCGTCCACGGCTGATTGGGTGGGGTGAGGGGTTGGGGACATGAAGCAATATGGGGGTTATTGAGGGCCAAGTAGTGCCACCACAAGTAGAATCTCAGTCAATTGTAACATTTAAAAGGGACTCTGATAAACACTTAAAGACTGATGCTACAAAACTCTAAGAGAAAAGATCAGCGATGCAGAATTAGAGTTTATAGCTACAGTGGGCCAAGCCAGCATGGTACAGGCAAGGTAAGGCTGAATTTGTTGAAATCCCCGTGATTCTACAAGTTGTCATTCAGCTCTTAAGATTATCCAACTAGGCTGAAAATCTCAAGCAAGTAAAACAAATGGACGGAGCACTCACCTTGAAAGTTCAGCCCAGTGCCTTATCTACCCAGAAAGTGCCAGCAGAAGCGGTGAGAAGATCCCAGTCCTGTAAATAAAATTGGAAAGAAAGTGAGGTAATGACTCTCAACCCTCTTCCAAATCTTGCAAAACATGATTGCGCAATTCCAATTGAAGCGACTGTGTTATTTTTCCAGCACATTTTGCAGCACAACAAGCCAGGGCAAGGAGAAGGAATCTTCCGTAAAAATTCAAGCAGCACTGCCTCGAGCATTGCTATAGATTGATGCATAACATGAGCCTTTCTTGGCCTCAGACAATCCCATCTTTTGCTAATAGACATAAATAAAATCATGGGATGTTCCACCTCCTTGCAGGTCTCGGACTGTGCTCTTCCTAGCTGCTTGCCAGGAATGGTGGTAGAGACCGGGACAATGAATTAATTTAAGAAACAGCTTGATGCTCTGATGGGCGTGGATAGATGGGTGTTCTGGAGGGATGAAATTGGATGGGCCAAAGGGCCTTCTTCACCCAAACCATCTTGTGATCTTGTGGGATCTTATGGATATTGGCATGCAAAAGTGTTTGCCCTCTGTTATCTTTAAACGCTGCACCTGACGTCAGATGAAAAGGAAACTAAGGAAAGCAAAGACCGACAAAAAAATAAAAAGAAATCAATTATACTTAATATGAGGAAAACTATCACATAGTAAGGACATAGGAGTGCAGAAACTCGGAATGCGATTGATAGGGATTGTGGCTTCTGAAATTTTCAGGGAGTACTGTAGATTCAGGTCTTCCAAAAAAAAATGTATGAAATTAAGATAGATAGTAATGATAATCCTTGCATTTGATATAGCGCCTTTCAAGTCTTCTAGATGTCTCAAAGCGCTTAACAAAAGAGATGTAATAATAATTACATTGCATTTCATTTAGCACCTTATCATCTCAAAGTGCTTCACAGGATTTATTGTCTGTGTTTTTTCCTCATATAAAGTGTTTTTTCTAGGCAAACGTGACAGAATAATGTTTGCACAAACAACCATGAAGTGAATGATTAATTTTATTTGGCCACCACACTGGGAGAAACTCCCTTCCCTTTTCGAAGTGTTATGGGATCTTTAACGTCCACCCTGGTCCTCGACTTTAACTTCTCATCTGAAAAACAGTGCCTTCAATGATACAACAATTTCCCACCACTGCACTGGGGTGTCAGCCGAGAAGATAATGAGATCAAAGTCTGAACATGGGGCTTGAACCCACAGCCTTCTGACTCAGAGGCGAGAATGCTATATATATATATATATATAATAAATATACACACATATATATATAGATTTATTTACAGTATATCATGTGAACTGTTTTAAGGCGTCTCGAAGACTATATCTAATGCAAGGATTATTATTATTATACAATATATACAAAGATATTTTAACAGCTGTCTTGAGAGCTAATATTTGACTTCTGTGCCGTGTCTTTTTAAGTCACAGCTGTGTTTGTTTGTTGATTTTTTATCTTGTTTGTTGAGAAGCAATGAAACTTTTAGGTAACCAGATGAGGAGTGGCGCATAATCTTAACAGCTTAATGAACAATCTTAACGCTATGAACACGAGAGATTTGGGGCCTCAGAATTCTTGCTTTTTTTAAAAAAATCTATTTTGATAGGATCGTCAACTTCAAAAGCTTCCTTACAATACTTTCGGTTCCAGCCTAGGGGAACTCACAAGATGATAATAATAGCAATAATAATTCTTGCTGCAAAATGCTGCAGATGCTGGAACAAAAACAGAAACAAAAACAGAAGTTGCTGGAAACAGGTCAGGCAGCATCTACGGAGAAAGGAAAGTGAGTCAACGTTTCGGGTCTATGACCCTTCGTCAGAACTCAAAGCTTCATGGCTTTGTGTGTCTAACGCTGTCCAGCTGGGAAATGAGTTAAGGCGATGCAGGAGCAATGTTAAAATTAGGGACAAGTTATAGTTTGACAAAAGACTAGAATATCTCTAGGTTCTAGAGATAAACTGGTTAGGAACAGCCGGATCGCTGAGGTTGTAGGAGGTTACAGAGGTCGGGTGGGGTGAGGCTCTGGAGGGGTATGAATGTTAAAATGAGGATCTTGAACTCAAAGTACAGGAAGTATAAACTGTGAATAATACTTAAGAGTAGATCAGAAAAACAGAACAAGGTAGTCAATCTAATCTAGTGGAAATAGTTTTTAAAAGATATGAGAACAAACCTTACTTAAATAAGAGTAAATTACCCATAGTAAGTTACAGCACAGAAAAAAAGCCATTCAGGTCTGTACTGTGTCTTTGAAAGAGAAATCCATTCAGTCCCATTTAACACAAATGAATCATTTTACATATCTATCTAGTTCTTCTTTGAAGTTAATATTGGTTCTGCTTTGACCGCCCCACAAAACAGGGTATTCCATTCCTAAAAACTTTCTGTGTTAAAAAAAAGACTTGCTCCTAATATTCCTCCTTTGCAGCTTTGCTAATTAATACATTACAAAATTACATTTGAAAAGTGCCTTTCACATCGGGACGTCCCAAGGCACTGAACAGTCAGGGATTAGGAGCTGAGCGGGGGAGGGCAGGGGTGTTGGGATCAGGGAGGATGGAAGGCAAAGAGGGTAAGAGGTTGGCCGAAGGCATGTCGAAGAGGAGGGTCTTGAGACGTGTCTTGAAGGAGGCAAGGGAGAGAGCGAGGCAAAGGGAATGTGGAATGGAATACCAGAGGGTGGGGGACATGGAGTAGGCCAGAGCCTGCTGAGCAGAGGGAGCGGACAGGTTGAAAGGGATTAGCAGGTTGGAGAGATAGGAGAGGGCAAGGCCATGGAGGGCCTTGAAGGTGAGGATGAGAACTTTGAATTCGATCCTCTGAGGGATGGGGAGCCAGTGGAGTCCGGCTAGGGATAGGGTCACAGAGCCTGGTGCGGGAGAGAACATGAGCTGCAGAGTTCTGGATAATTTGCAACTTGTGTAGGGAAGAGTTGGGAAGGCTGAGAGGCAGGGAGTTGGCATAGTCGAGCTTGGATGTAATGAAGGCGTGGATGAGAGTTTCGGCGGCCTGAGGATTAAGCAGTGGTGGAGTCGGGCAATGTTGCAGAGGTGGGGGAAGGCAAAGCGAGTCATCGCACTGATGTGGGGGAGAAAGGACAGTTGAGGGTCGAACAAGACGCCTAGGTTCCTGACTGGCTCGGTAATTGGAGTGTGCATCCGTGGATGGTGATGCTATCAGTGCTTGAGGTGCGGAGGCACTGATGGGAGCCAATCAGGAGAGTCTCAGTCTTGCTGACATTCAGCTGTAGAAAGTTAGCTCTCATTCAGGACGATGTTTGGCAGACATTCTGTCAGGACATCAGTATCTTGGAGTCAAGGGTGGAGGCAGAGAGGTAGAGTTGGGTGTCATCCGTGTACATGTGGAAGTTGACCCCATGTCTGCGGATGATGTCAGCAAGAAAGAGCATGTACAGGTTGAAGAGGAGAGGACCGAGGACAGAGCCCTGAGGAACACCGCACGAGGCAGTTGAAAGTCTAATGGAGCACATTTTGTTTTCTGGTGCAAGCTCAATTGATCAGCTTGATATGATTCCTTTAATTTGGATACCTTGACAGATCAAGGTAATTAGTAGCTATAATGATAAAATAACATGAGATGTATTTTAAAACAAATAGACACAATATATTTTGTGTGCCTGGGTAGTCAGTAAACCTTCATAGTGTCTGTCTGTAAACAATTATATGCAGTCGGTTATTGTAGCTATATCAACAACTTGCATTTATATAGCATCCTGCACACAGGGTAGTGTCTCAGAGCGCTTCATAATAATCCTAGCATTTGATTCGATGACCACGTCATCGAGACGTCTCAAAGTGCTTCACAGAATATATTGTAAAGTGGAGTGATTGTATTGTGTGGGTGAAATGCAGCCGCCAGCTCGCACACAGCATCATCTCACAAACAGCCATGGAATGAATGACCAATTTTATTTGGGGGGTGGGGGGGGGGCTGTTGGCTCGGATAACTCTGGAGAAAACCCTTATGTCGAGAAGATGTCTGAAACACTTCACATGTAAACTAAAGTGACTGTGTATTCTGTAGGTGAATATATATACACACACACACAGTAGTAGCCACAAATGTTTTGATTTAACAATGTAGCTGAGTTTATCAGAATCCTTTGGTCATCTCTATTGGCCACAGGCAGTAAATAAAATTGAGACCACAGGTTTGTCAAGAAATAAGTGAAACAAAATAAAACAAAAGCAAGTCTAAACTCAATACCACTACATCTCACACTTGCCACCAGAACTAACTTTGGTTTCCTACCACTGCTATTATTAATCACAAACCTCCATCTAGTCAGTGCACACTGACCAATTGCAGTGAATGTATACATTTAAATAAATAAGAGAATTACTGTTCTCCTTAATAATTATGCACAAGTTTCCCTAAAACCGTTACAAGGTATTCAATCAATCTCAACAAACTGGACTCAAGATCAATGAGCAAAAGCCAACAACGAGTGATTTCTTCTCCATATCAGCCAAACTTGCGGAAGAAATAAATGGTACATATTCAGCAAAAACAAAGCTGTTAACAGCTTTTTGTTAACAAATAGTAGACTTGTAGCAGCATAAATGTTATTCTCCACATTGGTGACCGCTCCCCCAAAAAACTCTCAGAAGTCAAAAGTAGAGTTTCTGTGACATATATTTCAAGCAATTTTTGTGACTAAAAACTTTATAGTAACTAAATTACAAATATGGTAGAATTCTTTGTTGAAATGTACCCGAAAACTATACGATTATAACTACACTGAAACCTTGGCTAGCTGCACCAATGAGGGAGAGATCCGGTCGAGTGATCCGGAATTTACGACCAAGTGTAATTACAATGTATTTTTAGTGCCGCAATATCCTGGTAAATGTATTTGTTTCAATCCAGCGAATAAGCTATCTTCTGCTCATGGGATTCATAAACAAATCAAAGTTGATATCCCAAGCCACTGTGGTAATAGAGTGGCAAGTGGGAGTCTGCACTGCGTGGGTGGAATTTTAAAAAATCCATTAAAATCCCAGAGTCTACTAAGCAGAGGGTTTACTGTGTAACGTTATGTATACTGTAGTTTAACAAACTCATTCTTATTTCAGCGTTTGCATGTTAAAAAGTCCACCTGTGTTTTCAAACTCCCACCAACCCACGTGACGGCTACAGCTTGACACAGTTTGATTTAACCGCAAGCATCAACAGAGCCACATTTTTAAAACCTAACACGATCTATAAAATACCTGAGTAATCCAGTTCCCGAGCTGGGCAGGTCCACAGTATTCCAGGGCACAGCTAAAGACAGCACAGCCCAGCCTACCTCAGCGGCAGGACTTGGAAGATCAGACCAGTCACTAGGGACAAGGACTCTTTCCACTCAGCTCCTGTTAAACCTGCAAGCCAAAACCTCGATGGGTAGGACGGTCCTCGCTGGACAAGCAGTGGGAAAGCTTGCCAGACAGCGCTCACAATGACAAACTATACGGTTTTAGCTGGTTAGACTCCAGCAGTACCCCAATACACTCCCTGGGGTCCCCAAGCCTTGCCTCTTGCTAAACTATGCCTATTACTCTCTGGAATAAGGTAAGTATCCTTATTATTATTAACATCCCTCCAGGTAGAGAGTGTGCATTCCATTCCAATGAATATCTCTGGAATTTCCATGTATAGTGGTTTCTCAGTTTGGTTTGGATACTCTTAAGCATGTGTTTCCACATGTTTCAGACATCCGACTGACAAAAAAAATCCTAAAAAACATAGTCTATGTGAAAACCCTATAGCATTGGCAGGTGTGCTTCTGTATGACTGACTTGTGATTTTCTGTGAGGAAGAGAGGGGAAAGTAAGTCTCTCTGGAATCAAAATGGCTCTAAGGTAATACACTTGGAGAAAGGAAAGTGGATCTGAACCAACCTCCGTGGATGTCTGAGTGATCCAACACTTGAGCCAGGCAGGGTTTCAGGACTCCAAAGCTTTGATGATGAATCAGTCCATCTTGCTCATCACTTGGGCTAAAATGTCACCAGAGAATGGAAGCCATCCTACTTATTACTGCTGATTACCCAGTGCCTTATACTGGTCAACTGTGCAGTTTTAGTTGGTTTCAGTTGGTTAATTTCCAACACTATTCTTAACATGCATTTTGGTTGAGAAATACCACAACTTCTGCAGAGATAGCCAAGCAAAGTGTGTTTCAAGGAAGGAGCCAGCACACACTGCAGAACTAACAGTTCCCTCAAAGAAACGCATGTCCTCTCTGCCTATTCTGGTTTCTAAGTGGATGCATTTGGAGCCAATTCAGCAATTCATTGCCAGGAGCTGATCTGACTCCTCCCCTCTCTTAGCTGTACCGTTCTTTGGTGGGGATGAACATTAATTTTAACAACATGTTGTTTCTAACCTTAATAGATTGGCTTAAACCAGCAATGTGATGGATGATACGTCGTGTAACCTACTCCGTTCAATTGCTCACCTCAGGCCGAAAACAGTCCGCAAAATACAGTCAGTTCACTTTACAGTACATTCTGTGAAGAGTTTTGAGATGTCTCAACTTGATAAGGTGCTTTATTAAACCAAGGAATATTATTAGTAGTATAGTATTATTTACAGTGTATCTGCAGCTTGTGACAAAGTTCCATTATGTCTGGGATAACATTTCAGCTTTAAGGATAAGTACGGCGCTATAGCTTACTTCAGTCCCCGGAGGCCAGAATCAATACTCCAACGAAACACAAAGAGAAGCAGATTTGTCTCTTACTTTCCAATTCTGGATCTTGAGAGCAAAAATCAGGCCTTGGGAGCGGTCGGAGGCAGGATAGAGTTTGGTCAGTAATCAAAACACCTGCGTATATCTTTACAACGCCTTACAGTGATTCAGTCGGACGCTATTTCAAAGAAAAGTGACATCTTCCTTTAAATTCCCCGCCTCATCCAAATTTACCTCCAAATTCAATTTAATTGGCCGCTCATCAATTTTGTCGTTTATGGGATATTGCTGATGCAGATTAACTGCTGCATTTGACTACAATCATTCATCTATAATCAGTTAGATTTTATAAAGTGCTTTGAGGTGTTTTTTTTACCAGAAATCCAAAATGCAAGTTATTATTGTAAGGCAGAGATCAGCCTCTGCTTTTCTGGTTCTCACTAAATGTGGCATGTCCCCTCCAAAGCCCTTTTAAATCTGACTCGAGGAAATTTCATCACTTGAGGAAATCTGCACCCTTTTCCCTGCTTCCTCTTTTGTTGTGCACAAACTGGCTGCCATGTTTGCCTACAAAATATACTTTGACTGCAGTTTACAGTATATTCTTTGAAGCTCTATGAGACATTCGCCTGACGTGATAAAGCATCATATTAAATGCAAGGACTAATTTTATGGCCTACATCCTGTAGCATGTTGGTTAGAGCACTCGCCTCGCAAGCGAGAAGACCTAGGTTTGATTCTCGGGCAGGGCAAAACGTTAGGCAAGTTTCCTTACACCACACTGTTTATCTGTTTATCTAGTAGTACATAGGAACCCGGCTGTTAGTCGATTGGAGGATCGCTTTTCTGGGCGTAATAAACTCTTCAAAATAATAATAATAAAAAAAAATAATTTGGTCACTCAATCCACGACTGTTTGTGGGACACTGCTGTGTGCAATTGGCTGCCACATTTTGGCCACAAAATATATAGTCAATTCACTTTATAGTATTTTCTATGAAGCACTTTGAGATGTCTCTATGCAAACTCCCTGCTTGTCGGCCTCCCTAACATTTCCCTCCATAGGCTGCAGATCATCCAGAACTCTACAGTCCGTGTCCACTCCTGCACCAGGCTCTGTAACCCTATCACCCCCATCCTCGCCCGGTTCCACTGGCTCCCCAATACTCAGAGGATACAGTTCAAGATCCTGGTCCTCATCTTCGAAGCCCTCCACACCCTTGCTCCTCCCTATTTCTCTGACTTCCTAACCCCCTACCAACCTGTCCACTCCCTCCACTCAGCGGGCTCCGGCCTGCTTCATGTCCACCGGCTTGCCTGCCCCACCTTTGAATCCTTCAAGACCCGTCTCAAGACCCTCCTCTTTGACCGTGCCTTTGGTCACCCTCCTACCCCTACCCTTCCCGCCTTTCACCCCTCCTGATCCCAACCACCAGCTTGGGTGCAGATCCCTGACTTTCCAGCTCCTTGGGACGTCCTCTTGATGTGAAAGGCACTATTCAAATGTAATTTGTTGGTGTTGTCTCAAAGAAGTGATAAGGGGCTTTATCAAACGCAAGGATGATTATTATTAATATTATTATCCTACATTTTTCATCACCCCCAGATACCGTGTTAGATACCATTTTTAGAGTAGGATTGCCCAAAACTGCACCGGATATTCCAGATAACCCTTTCACACTGTAGAAGTGATGCAACATTACTGCTGGCAGTATTGTGTGATAAGAAATTCAATCTTCGGTTCAGATTCCAGTTTTCTTAGCATTTCAGACAATTTGACATATTCGTCCCCTCCTCCCCAGCTTGTGCTCCCAGTTAACTCTGTGTGGGGGTTTGAGACAGCTTCCCAATGTGAAAGGCGCTATCTATATATAAATTGTTGTTGCTTGCTTGCTGCTGTTAGACAGAGCAATGCTGTTAGTAAAGAGTGACCCTTGACTATGGTTAGTGGTGTGAGGATTAAATTAATCCAAGGTTTAGCTGCTGCTCCCACACAATGCTCTTCACTTCCTTTTCTGTGCTATGCTGCTCACTGCACTTCAACCAGGGAACAAAATGTCAGTTTGGTGTCTTTGTGGAAGATTTTACTTTAAATTCAATTTTTTTTAAAGAAGAATTTAGATAAAAGCCATTTCCTATTGGGAATCCCACCATATTCTAACATCAGCTTGTTTGCGCTTCCCTTAAAGTTCAGCTTCCCTTGGGCTCACCTCTGCCAGTAGACCAGTCACAGAGTCTGCAAATGTATGACAGTTTAGCTATATGTGGTAGAATTTGCAACAACTAAAACAAGCTTCAAAATGCTCACGTAAACATTGTTATCTTTTAGTGCAGGCTATGAAGATTAGGACTGTAAATTCTTCTGATTTGCATCAATCACATATTGCTCAAACCTACGCAATTATCATTTTGTTTGCCACATACACAAGTCACAATATTATTGTGCTTGTGTGTAAGGAACTCAGAAACATACAGGACTAGAAAAGGCCATTGCATTACTTCCGAGTGTTACCAACCCTCCTGCCTTATGCAAGCACCAACCCCTCCCATTTCATGTGCAATGTCTCTTATGGTATAACATGTGCCTAACACACACTTAACTGTATACAAAAGGTGAAGAGACTGACTGGATACAGCTCTGAACTGGAGAACGTACGGCACAGATCGATTAATTTGCGATGCAGGCACAAAAGAGTGAAGCAAGGTCAAGGAAAAGGATGAATTTTGCAGTTGACAATGATCTCTATCAAAAATGCCTTACATCCAAAGTACCCCTTTGTTTCATTGAACAACCTTCTCCAACATCTCACCTCCCTGCTTTACCTCTGTGGCTCTGCCCATTCCTAGATATACTCTTACCAGTCGCAGAGTCTACCAACTATTTTGGTGTTTCCATTATAAACAATGGTTGGACCAGAAACTGGTTCTAAAGTTTCACAACTGTTCACCACTGCCACTATTCAGAGAACATAATAATAATAATCCTTTCATTTGATATAGCGCCTTATCACATCAGTGGGACGTCTCAAAGCATTGCACAAAGTATACTGTAAAGTGTGTTTTGTGGGTGAAAAAAAATGATTTGAAGAAACACAGCCTTCAGCTTCTAGCTATGGCATTCTTGGTCGTCCGGATCCTGAGTCAGAAGTCCCCATTATTCCAGGGCACTGTTAATGGCAGATCAGTCAGCCTGGATGGTAGCAGGACTTCAAGGAGCAGACCAGTCACTTGGGCTTGGCATTCTTCCCACTCAGCTTCCATTAACTCTGGCAAAGCCCTAACGAATAGGGTGGGACAGGCAGTGGGAAGATAGTGCCAGACAGGTTATGCACTTTTAGCTGGTTAAACTCCAGGAGTTTGCAAAACATTATTATTATTATTATTATTATTATTATTATTATTATAACATACTTTGAGGTCCCCAAGCCTGGGCTCTTGCCAACTTGCGCTTAATTCTCTCCAGAATTAAGTAAGCAGGGTCGTTCCCCTGGAGGAGAGTATGCATTCCATTCCAGACTCAGGAATTTCTATGTGTAGGGGATTTGGAAACTCCTAAGCGTGGTGATGGGTTTCCCCATGTGTCAGACACCCAGCTGACCCCAAAAAGCCCCAATCTGATTTATCACCAGCTCTTAGTACTCCCATCTCGATTTAAATATGTCGACTAACCAACATCACACCACTATCTTGTAGATTTTATCTGACGTCTTCAATCTATGGTTCTGCTGTTTCAAATGATAATGATTAATGATAATGGGAGTTGCTGGAGGGCAGTCTGAGCTCGGGCAACCACATCTGCAGCAAATGTCTGCAACTGAGGCAGCTCCAGCTCAGAGCTGGACTCCGAGGTGCAGACATTGCGCAGCATCAGGGAGAGTGAGTGCTTCCTGGATAGTTTCATCCTAGAGCCAGTCACTCCGCTGAGGCTCAGGGAAAGTATAGATAATTGTATCAGTCAAGGATAGGATAGGGTGTCTGACAGGCAGGAGGTTAAGGGAACGCCAGAGAGAGTGGCAATGAAGCCTCAGGCTTTAACCTTGGCCAACAGGTACGAGATTCTTGCAACCTGTGTGGCCAAGGAAACCTGTGAGGAGGAAGGAAAACGTCATTCTAATATTAGGGAAAACAAACAGAAAGTTGTAGTGATTGGGGACGAGACTATCAGGCGGACAGATACACTTATCTGCAGCCCCAACCAGGAGGCCCGAAGGCTCTGTTGCCTTTCTGGGGCCTGGGTGAAGGACGTCTCAGCTGGGCTGGAAGAGAATCTGAAACATAAGGGCGAGGATCCATTGGTGGTACCAATGACATAGGTAGGGTTAACAGTGATGATTTGAGGAGGGAGTTCATGGAGTTGGGAACTAAATTGAAACAAAGAACATCAAAGGTAGTGATATCAGGATTGCTGGCTTTGACATGTACAGGAATAAGCAAATTAGAGAGTTAAATTCATGGCTGAGGGAATGCTGTGGAACTCAGGGGTTTCATTTTATGGGCCATTGGCACAAGTATTGGGGGAAAAGGGGTCTATTTCAAAA